ATTTATTTATTTATTTATTTATTTATTTATTTATTTATTTATTTATTTATTTATTTATATATATATATTTGTCATTTCTGAATAAAACAACTTGGTTTTCACTCAACAACATATGTCAGTACTGTACATCTGCTTAAGACATCACTCTGTCATCTAACCACAATTTTGTGATTAGCACGAATAAGGTAGTGATGTGATGTAAATACATGTTGATCTTAGTCGTGTTATCCAGATGCTTCAAACTTTAACATTTAGCTGGACTTAATGTTTGATTCAGACTAGCCTGTTCTTGGTTCATTTGTGGCCAGATCTGCTTATCAGGTGATTCGATTCTATGTTAACTGGATGTCACAGCGGAGCTGTCCATTGATGCTAAAGACACAAAAAGAAAAAAAAACTTACTCCCAATTTTTTTAAAATCAAGACAAAATCTCAGCCTAGATTAAAGCAATCTGGCAGTGACCTTTGACTCTAATTTTAGTTCTCACATCCTTTTTTATTTTAATCTGATAGTTTTAATCTGAATGTGAGCATGTTACACTAATATTTAGTCCACTTTCTGGTTTAACTTTAAAAATTATGATTTATCAGCTACCATTAGTACAGTAAATCTGCTACACAACTGCTGACTAAGAACAATAGGATAGCATCTGCTACTGTGATTTTGAAATCTGCTCGGTTTGATATTGATTTTCAAATGATTTTGTGACTTTGTAGAATGTTTCCCTGTGCATTATTTTTGCTGAAAAGGCGAAAAGCCTTCGCTGAGTCTGGAAAGCCACAGAGATCCTAAAACTATTCCCTTTCAACTGCTCCACAAAACAGTAGAAAAAGATTATTGGAGGCTGGATGTATTTTATAGGCCGGAACACCTTACTGAAAATATTAAGGCCTGAAAATGTTGTTGTGCTGTACATACACCAAGATACCAAGAGTGGGTTACATCTGGATGGGTCACCAGTCCATCACAGGGTAATTTTTTATAAGCTTTAATCTAAATGTATTTCTTTGATATTTTGTATTATTTGTTTATCATATTTTATTATATTTTGGGGGTTTTATGGGTTTTTCTTCGTCCTTGACGATATTGACGATTTTGTACTTTCATCTTTCATTATTCATTTTAAACATGGTTTTGTTTTACCATATTAATTTATTTTGTATTTGTTCCACTTGCTATTTTGAGTAAACTGTCTTTAATCTTCACATGTTGTCAAATTGTCTCTAAATTTAATCTGAAAAGCACTTTGGAAGTCTAAATAAAGACTGATTTGATCATTGCTTTTTTTCTTGATGGCTGGATGCTAATTTCTGTCACCAGATCTGGCAACACAGACTCCAACACAGGTTCCTGTTGGAGAAAGCTGAGTGATGCTCAGTGTTTTGAGGAGTGTGGATTTAATTAAGACTTTGGAGAGGTGCAAACAATGCCGTTCCACTGTGGGATGTAATGTGGATGTGAGTCATCAATATTACGGTGCTGTGTAACATGTAAATGAGATTTAAATGGATGGATTAAATATTACAATCTGCACCTCACATAAACACCATTATCAGAACACTGACTTATTTAATTGAAGGTCAGTTGACAAAATACTGCGGTGGAAGTTACTGACAGAAAACAAGTATTGTGATGTCAGATATGAGAGTAGAAAAGTCTGAAGTGCAAAGAAAATTTTGACTTGTGAACGATGATAAATAGGATTTCTGTTGTTGATATTCAAATGAAAGTTTGACATCATAGAACTGAGAATTATTTTCCAGAGATTTGATTTCTAAGAGATTTCCTCCATGCTAAGCTCATTATTCAATCTTTTTTTAACAGATAGTTGATCCCTTTTTGTCGGGAAAGCTAAATTACCCAAGTTCAGAAATAATCAGTGGTGAATGCTACCATCTCGCTCCGTGACAACTGGTAGGTGTGTGTTAATTAACATGCTGAACCCTCATTTCTGAGAGGAGAAATTACACCCTGAGCAGGTTTAATCAGGTTCCGGATGGTTTGTGTGCCAAGTCACGAAGGGGACCTGTCGATATCCAGGGGACAGTTCTACATGAAAGTCGACCAACTTTGAGGCGACATTTTTGAGACTCAATAACTTTTGTGATTTCTGACTGATTCTTAAAGGTTGGCATTTGCTCTCGTTGCTCTTATTGATTAGATGGAAGAAACTATTCTAACAATGCTTTTTTTTTCTTCTTTTAATTTTCAAAGGTGTAATGATGGAAACCTTGAAAGTGTTCATTGTCCGTGGCAGCAAAGGTCATTCATTTTGGCTGTGAGGCTGTGGCGTTGGTGCTCTGTTATTTCAAAAGTGTTAATTATAGTTCTCTTTATTTTAAAAATCGAATGAAATATATCGACTCGACTTTGATCCGGGTGCATGAACTCTACTTCTTAGTCTTGTATCGCACTGACCATTCTGAGTAAGGAGGCTGCCATCCTCTGTTTTCCAGCAAAAGAGGATAACAAGGCACCATGTGAGATTTAAATCAATCAAATTATACTCCAGAGTCCAGCATGTAGTTGTGTAACCAACCTTGATTGTCCATTTAATCCGTCATAAATGATGACAGAGAAGGGTAATGAAAGAGCATATTCTCACCATCGTCGTGAAAATTAATCCCTGGAGGAAGAGAGAGTGACTAGACAGCACAATGACAGGAATTCATATCAGACAAAAGGCAAAAAAAAAAACACATCAGTTTATTGGGGGGAAGATGAAGAGAAACACATCTGTATAACGTCTCAGTGAAGCAAGAAGTGATATCGCAAGTGCAGTACTTAATGAAGAATATTTCTAGCCCCTTTTTATATCTTTACAATATATTTTTTCTTTTTCCCTTTGTTCCGCAAGGTGTGGCCTGCATTGATTGGCAGTGTCAACCATCGGTGCGCTGGTGTGAGGGGGTGGGCCAATGGAATGAAGGTGTTGAATTCAATCTGGATGAAGACTGCACTGCCGGCACTTTCGACATGAATCTATGCCTGTCCATGGATCATTCGCCATGCTTAATTTAGTCCTAGTGTTCAGAGTGGCAATTTCAACCAAGTAATCATAGCACCCCCAAGAGGGAGATAGGTGTTTAGCCACTCTGAGAACAAAGCCTCGCCCCTTCTCATCTCAGCTCTCTTGTGTTTTCCCAGCTACCTCCTCCTCTGCTCACATATAAGTGTAGATAAAGGAAGCTGACCTTATTCCCATGTGACGCCACTGTAATACCCTGCTGGCTTGAAAAGAGAGCGGTGATGACTGGGAGAGCCGCTGTTTACTGTTTTCCTGGCGGCTTGTTTTGGGAATTTCAGGCCAACTGGAGAGGAGTTCCAGGCTGATGACTGAGCTGACAGTGACACATGGAGGCTTCACAGATTTAGGAAAGGCACATATCCAAGTCCCAAAAGAGACGGGCTCAGACTGAAACCAATTCTCGTTATTGTAGCTGTGCGCCTCAGTTTGCTGCGCGCTCTGTCCCGCATATCCCTCTATTAACTGAGTCTGACATACCCATAAGGATGATGGAAGGGTTGGGCTTTTTGTAAAGCCATTCACTGCACTGAATTCTTATGCCAGGAGAAAAAGAGCAGAGTGCTGGTTTTGATCATAGTGTGGATGTGTGTTTCAGAGCCGACTGCCATCACCACCCCGCCTGCAACAATGGACGTTACCGTTGGGGAAAGTGTGGTCCTGCCCTGCCAGGTGAGCCACGACCCATCCCTGGAGCTCAAGTTCACCTGGTTCTTCAATGAGCAACTCATCCACTTCGGGAGCCATGGAGGATTCTTTGAAAAAGTGGGCGGTGTAAGTCCATAATCCATTTGTCATGATTTCTTTGAACCACCAAGACTATCATACCCTTTTATAACCGCTCCCAAAGGTGTTCGTCCAGAGTAGAATAAAATCCACGCTCCGACTGATGTTTACTAGCATTAATTATTTTTCTTGCGGTGCGTATCTTCTGCTAGCAAACACAGTGAAAACTGTATATAATGAACAATATAAACGGGGTTAGCTAATAAACATCTTCTGACCAAACATTTAGGAGATGTTGTTGTCCATGTTCGATTTTTTAAAGGGAAGTTCCAAAATAACTTTTTTCCTGGCTGTTGTTGCCTCAGTGCATCTCTTCACTCGTCATGCACTCAGCGCATGATCATGCAGTGTTCGGTGCAATATGCAACTCCATCAACAAATGTGAGTATAACAATAATCAAATTACACATTCAGTATTTGCAAATAAAGCAATATTGAATAGGAAATAATAAACAACTTATCTCTATGACAGTTACACTGCCATCAAAATTACAAAAAATGTATATTCACAATGTATTGAACAAAGGTAAATCTGGTAATTTTTCAAAAATGACAATCAACCTGCAAACTAACTTACAAAGAAAAAGTAACTTTCTCCGACTTCCTCCAACAGTCCAAAAACCTGCATGTTAGGTTGATTGGACATTCCAAATTGCCCTTAGAAGTAAATGTGAGTGTGCGTTGTTGTTTGTCGTACGTCTTTTGTGTGGCCCTGCGATGGACTGGCGGATTGTCCAGGGTGTACCCAGCCTCTCGCCCATTGACCACTGGGATAGGCTCCAGTTCTCCCCATGACCCCATTAGGGAATCAGCGGTAACGATGATGGATGGAAGTCACAGAGATCGGACATTTTATTTAAAATACTAAGGGGGACACTTTTTTGCAGTTTCTCGTGTTGGAATATTGTTTTTCTCCAAAGGAATGTATTTTTGAGTGTATGTAGGTGGCAACTCAATATACTCTTTTGAGTGGTGCCCTCTTACGCTTAGTCAACTCAATCTATGACTAGGCATTGTTGAACCTCTGTCAGTCATTGTTGTTAGTTTTAAATTAACTGGTTCTGTATTTGCTTGCATTTTCCCACATGTCTCTTGATCAATGAAAGTGTTACTACTCTGGGTGTCTAGCAAAGCATAAAGCAACATCTCTGGTTTCTTTGATGCTACACATGAAAGCCAAACTGGAACAATCTGCTTCCCATCCTCACACTACATGAGACAGTAAATGCATTTTCCGCTTGGGACATTTCAGACTTCTCCTCCTGAAGCATCTTCGTGGAGAGGGGAAGGGTAGTTTCTCCTGCACACATTACATGTTACTCAGTTTTTGGGAATATGACCAATTTTAAGGCAAGCACAACACATGTTGTGGTCCCTAATGAACTGTTTCTTTTCTTCAAGAGGCTTTGCTAAAAACTTGTCACATTTATAGATGAAATGTTGCTGCTTACAGCAGATACATTCAATTTGCCTTTTGTTCTGAGATAAAGAAAAAAGTGAATTTCGAATTCTTGCGCTGATTTGTAGCTGTGGCCTTTGGATTTTTAGACACGCTTGCTGATGTTACCAGGCCACTGGCGTTCATACGTTTTTGTTCCTTTTAAGGCCTTTCAAATGCGTTCTTTAAAGCAAACAGAGAAGAAACAGGATTGCATGCTATGCGTGCCTCTTCTGCCACAATATGTATTACACTGTTGCAGTTTATGAAACAGAACTACAGAAAGCAGTTTCTGAAAAAAGGCAGTTTTAGAGGAAATTGTTTCTGCCCATAAATCTGGGAGGATAATCAGGCCATTTGCAAATTATTTAGAGGCCATCATTTTACAAAAAGAAAAAAGCATTCAAAACTAGAAACAAGGCAGCCGCTAATCCAGCAAGTTCACCTCAAGGCCAGGCCGCAAAAGGCTCATGGTTTCTACAGGCCTCTGTTCGCATGTTAAAGGTTCAAATCCAAGTGGTTCTCTGAGTAAATAAATCATGTAGTGGACATGTCATTGATATTGTTATTATTATGGTTTTATCCACTGTGGATATATTGTAAAGGAGTTTCAACATGGGTGGAGTTCAAATTAAGCCTGTTCAGTTGATTTACACGTATTTGTTACTACAGCTCAAACTGGATCAGGCTCAGGTGACCACTTACCTTTTTCAATCAAACCTGAGGAACTGCATCAAGGTCCAGTGGACTGTTTTGTCTTTGAACTTGTATGGACCCGAAGTACGGTGATTAATACGCAACACCAGCAGAAATTAGACCAATTTACAGCGTTCAGTAGCCAAAACAATTTACTTTAAAACACTTTCAGGTGAGGCACAGGGAAGGAGCAGATGGGTCTTTCATTACGTCTTGACATATGAAACTCTGGGTTTGAAAAATGGGGTACTTTCCTTTTCACACGCTGTTAAACCTCATTTAATCCGACCGCATTCGTCGAGGGGGGGCCATATTTATTTGAATTTGCTGTTTATGTTATGGTACTCAGAAGTATAGATTGGTGCTGTTGGTTACGCTTTAATGTTATTTTATTAAAATGCACCCAGAGACCAGTTTCACACAGCACTTAGGAAGCTGTGAGCCAAATATCTCCTTTTTTCACTTTTTTCTGAACTACGGACACATTTTGAGAGATTCTTTGCAGCCACTATTCCTAATTCCTCAGTTAATAAGAGATTAAGCCTCAAGTGTCAGACTTGATGGGAAAAACTAAGGGGATCTTTTTGTAACTGTCCTTAGATTTTAACTTGCTAATTGTTTATTTCACTCTTAAAGCTCCCATTTTCTACTCATTTAAAAAAAAAGTTCCTGCTTGACCCCACATCTTACAATTCTCCACAATCCTGAGTGTGGCACAGACACCAAGCAGAAATCTAAGTTTGTCCTGTTCGCATAAATGCATCAGGTAAAAAGCCCATCTTCACGAATGATCTCGTGGAGGTTAGTTGAATGCCTTCTTGAATCAACGCATAAAAGATATTGATCTATCTTAACCTCCTCAGAGATAAAGGTCGAGAGGTGAATAAAAATGTATTGGTCTTTACATTGGTCCTTTGAGCGGGTTTTTGATCAATTTAACCGCAGAGCAGTGGGAATGTTTTTATCACACATAATATTTATGAACATGTTATTACATTTACATACACACCCTGTCAACAGTTTCAGGAAGCCTTGAAATGGCTTTGCAGCTCTACACCTCAGCCATGAGGTGCTCAGCCTCATGTTGTACACAGATAATTCTGAGCTCCCTCTGTTCCTCTCTGTTTCTATTCTGGATTTAGGTTTTTCCTGGCAGATGATTTAAAGACCTATCCACTTGATAAATTGCTTTTCATCTCCACTTACATTGATTAAGCTCCCAGACACTTCACAGAATTCTTACTGCCACCATGCTCCAGCTTTCAGCCAACTCCAATTTATGACAGCACAACCTGTTTGGCTCCGCTCTGATAAAATGATAGTGTAGGAGTGGGAATTGCAATTAGAGAAAGCTTCTATTAAAGATCTTAATATCACACTATCCATTTGGCTGCTGTATATAACGCCCCACTGTCCCGATAAAACTATTAGGGCAAGCACAATACTGTATTCAAAGCAATTAAATGAGCACATGGAGTGGTATTTCCATGCCCTGTTTTGAATATGGAATGAGGGCCAGAGTGCATTTCTTTAAGACACATACATGAGACTGAGCATGATTCTGACCAGCGTTGTTCCCAACAGGTCCAAAAGAGATCAGTATTGTTCTTGAAATGACAATAGCTGCAATAACTTGATGTGTTTCTTATGGAAGCGTGCATGTGTTTGTGTGTTGTGCACGCTGTGGATGGCAGCAGCATTCGGCTGGAGACATCATGATTCGGAATATCCAACTGAGGCACGCAGGGAAATACACGTGTGCCGTGCAAACAAAGGTGGACAGCATCTCCATTGCCATGGACCTGGTTGTCAGAGGTGAGTCGTGATGCAATGCATTTTTTCCTGAGCAGTTCATACGCTCTGCAAAGTTTGCATGTGATTCAGATATGTGTCATTTTGTCGATGACTCACATTCAGCTAGAGTGAGTGAGCCTCACTGATGAGGTAATGAAGGAATAGACTGAAAAATTGGGCACGCAGAAATAACTCTTTTCAAGGTTTAAATGGAATTCACTGTCTAATTAGACTGAATAGCTCCCAAAGGTTTCACACAGAACTGATTTTGCAGCAGTATCCAGAGTTGCTGAAACAACACCGTCTCTCTCCACCATCTCTCCATCTTTTCCTGATTTACATCCCACACCCCTTTCCATCTCCCCCCTCCTCCACCTCCATTTTCCCTATCTTTTGCTCCTGTTTCCTGACTGACTGTGCCATCTATAAGGTCCCCCGGGCCCCCCTACTACCATCCACGTTGAAGAAATCACTGATACCACAGCTACTCTGTCCTGGAGGCCTGGTCCTGATAATCACAGTCCAATTACAGCATACGCCATCCAGGCCAGGACACCATTTTCCCTGGGGTGGCAGGCTGTCACCACAGGTAAGCTCTCTCCAACCAGCCGAGGCTCTTCTCCAATCACAAGGAGGGGGTCGCTCCTCATTCTGCCTCCACCTGTGAAAAATATTACAGCTGTAATTTTTAGTCCAGCACCAAACGGCACACAATAGCACCGGGATCATTGACCGGTATTTTATCAGACCCCTGGGAGCCCTGAAACATGGATCCCGTCCTTATGATGAGGCCAGTTGCCAAGGCTGTAATTTGATCGTGTGGTTATGTGATAGTAACAGGGATTTTTTTTCCCAACATCCTCCTCAAAGGGACTCTTAGTATTCATGAGTTATTGGCGTAATGTGTTTTTATCCTATACTGAATGCTTTGCTTTATCGATATCCCTGTGACATTTAGTCACCCACTTTTATCAGGGATTATTTTCCTGGCCTTATTGATTTTCAGCATCTGGGTCACGTTTTTGGAACAGTAGCACTGGCAATAAAGTCACTGTTTTTGAAAATCTGCTAACTGTAGTACAGACACCCAGTGCATAATATGTTTTCCATGTCAAAGGAATTTAACATTTCTTTGTTGTAGCTGTTTGCTGGCATGAGCAATAAGAAAACACACAAAAACAAATGTGAAGTGTTGAAACTGATGAGGTGGGTGGGCATTTTGTGTTTAATGCCAGTTCCTGAGATGGTAGGGGGCAACCTGCTGACTGCTACAGTAAAAGACCTGAGCCCTTGGGTGGAGTACGAGTTTCGAGTCCTTGCAAGCAACAGAATTGGGACCGGCGAGCCCAGCAAGCCATCCAAACAAGCAAGGACAAAGAGCACCTGTATGTACTGAAATTCTTTTAAAAGAAAAAAATATATATCTTTGTTTGTTTGATTGTTTTTTTTCTTAGGATTTATAGAATTTGGGAAATTTCCTAATTTTACTACTCTGTGTTCTATAGACTGCGTTTCTTTTAGAGCTTAATTTTATTTTTATTTATTTTTTTACCACTTTACTACTTCAAACTGACCTCAGACATACAGAAACAGCTAAATAGCAGGACAAAAAATAAGCTTCGAGCAGTCTTGAAAAAAAAGTGAAAAAGAAAAAACTATGGATCAATCCGAATAGGTCCAGATTTAAAAAATACCACAAAAAGTACCATAACCAATGAAAGAGCATATTTGTCTCCTATATTTTATTCTCTCTGGTTGTCACCTTTTTGCTCGTAAATATCCCCGAAGCTATGGTTGTGAGTTATAGTCAGTGGCTGTAGCTTTAGCATTTGACACAAGAGCTTCGGTGTTGTTTCTGTGTAAATTTTGTGTATTCTTTCTTTTTAACCAGAAGAGCAATTTAGAAAAACCTGCAGGTCAGAGGGATGGTCCTCAGAAAGCTGAGTGAATGTGAACAGATGTGTTCAGGCACACATCTTAATGCATAGCGAGTGCATTCACAACTGAATTGTCAGTTTCAGAGTTCTTAAACATGTTTTTCCTCTTGAATTTAACAATAAGGAAATTATCCCCAATCAAATCTTCGTCTGCTCCTCATTTCCAACAGAAACCTTTTAAATCCTGCTTGGCCTGATGACCAAATATAGGATCTTTCTGAAAGCAGCCAGCTGTTTGCTGATGTCAGATCCTTTGTGTGTGTCACCCCAGTGGTTGCTCTTTTCTTTTTCTTTTTACTCAGCAGATGAGAGTTTGCTGATGAGGATGTGTCGATGTGCACATTGTTTGTCATGGGGGACAAGCAAGACAAAAACTGATTGCATGCTCCTTCAGTGTTCCATGTAAAGCCGACACAGCTAAGTTGGCCTGTCTTCTTCCTCCAGATCCGAAGGTCACACCATCTAATGTGAGTGGAGGCGGAGGCAGTCGCTCCGAATTAGTCATCACATGGGAGGTAAGCAAGCTTGTTCAGAATCCTCTCACCCATGGAGGAGGCAGCCAGACATCGTTTTTCTCTTTGAATTCGGGCCCCTGTTTCATTAATAACAAGCTAACGGCTTAATGTATGGCATTTCATTTTTAAAAACACAGAGGCAATAACTGCGGCTGTCACCCTGGAGGAGAGAAAAATGGCTTTGAGGTTTCAATAAGATAATTAAACTAAATGGTTCCTTCAAAGTCCCAACTTCTATTTTGCATTACTTGCTTTTTTTCCATCTTTCTTTCCTTTTTCAGTATTGCTGTCTCGCTTACTTGCTCTCAACAAAGCTGCTGCGTATCAACCAGGCTTCAAAAGGGTCTATTTATTCATGGTCTTAGAAATCATCCTGCTGTGAAATATTTCTCAGAATCTTTCTTGATGTTTCAATACACAAACGTTCAATTAAAGTAAACTGTTGTAGCATATATAACAAAGCTGCTATTTTCCCTCAACCCTGAAAAAAACCCCTTCATTTTCATTTTGACACCGAGGCAGAGATAAAGGGTTGCTTGTGCAATGTTAATATTTTCCTGAAGGCATAAGGAATGACTGGACTTGCCCTGGAGCCGTGGGTGAAACCCGATGCCTAAACATTGGGCTGATGATTTTATTAGCTGTACATGTGGAAGCAAAGAAAGTGGGAGTAACTATCCGTAAGATTCTATGAAAAAAAACTCTTAAAAAAACATGCTCCCTTGGCCACTAGCATAATGGTACAATGATGCTGTAAAGGAAGAGCTAAGTTGAATGGATCTAACCATACAATTAACCACTTGCTCAAAATGCGGATCTTACGCTTAAGTCAGGCCCTCTTCACACCTGCTCTGCTTCCCATTAGTCTGTTTCCAGCTGGTATCGTGTTTGAATGACCACACTTGAGAAGGAAGCCTGAATATATTGGCATGTGCACGTCACTAGATGTTGCTGCAGACACAGAAACACACGGTAGCATAGGAAGTTTAATCCTAAGAAATTGTTAAATAAATGGGAAAAAAACACTCCATGGTTTCATGTTAATGGTTCATTGTAGTGCCATTTTGTTCTCAATGAATCAATCAATAATTTTCTGAATGATTGAGAGGAAAGCCATGGACTTTTTGTTCTTTGAAGCGGATGGGAGTAGTTGAAAATACTGCCACGTGATCAGCTTGTCCTGGCAGCAGTTTTCTCAGGTATTGTAAAGTTTCTCTCAAAACAGTCAGTCCCATTTTGGGGACCCAAAAATGTTACCATGGATCCCGTAATCAGCTGCATTCCAAGTGTTCAATGATGTAGAGATAATTTGCATCTAAAAAAATAAAGCTTTTGAGCTAATCAAGGGGGTTCTCCTACCTTAACCAAGTACTGTTCCTGTCTGTACACAACTAGGAAGTGAAACTTATGATCTCACCTATCTAAGTAAAGTGCGGCACGTAACGGCGTTGTGCAGCACACCTCCTCCCAATTGTCTTTTGAATACTTTGTGTTCTATTTATGCAAAGACACAAAAAAAGCAGTGCCCTGATGTGTAACTATTCTCCAGTCCTTACAAACGCCCTTCTTCCGAAGACATTATTATATCTAAGGATATAAAGATCTGATGTATGTTTTATTTAGAAGTATCATAGTTTCACTATACTATAGTTTCAGTTAATTCCATCAGACCTTTAGATCTTGCAAGACCTTAAAGTACTTGTTGTATTCTGTCCGCTGATACCGTATTTCTGTGTCACCTCTGACTAAAGAATGCTGTTCTAAACTGGTCTCGTCTTGAGGTTTACGCGCCCTGTGGGGAATCCCGCTGGAATTTTTTGTTTTGTTGTTTATTTTTGTAACTGTGGAAACAAAAAAGGGGGCTCCTCCTTCACCCACCGCTGTTTCTCTAAGGGTGCCGAGGCCTTTGTTTTGCGGTGCTCATCGGTGTCTTCTTTTTGTCTCAGAAATGTTTTAAAAAACTGTTGTTTTCAAGACTATTGTTACTATGGGCTCTCTGATGGATTGTATCTTTCTTTTTTTTGTCTTTGAAACATATAGAGGGTCTATTTAATTCACGCCGAACCCTGTCTTTTGATAGCACACCACATGTTTCCATAAAATGGCTTCTCATTTAGAGTTCGGAATCTTTGAAAGAGAGCATTCCACTCTTCAAAGAGCAGTAATTCCCAAACCTTCCCATAATAAGATATAATGGATTTAAATACAGTGAGAGGCTTAGACTTAAAGGGCACAGCTGCTGTACATAGGCCTGTACATCGAATGATATATTATTCTTTAAATCAGTGTCATTTTTATAACGTAAAGGCAAAAACTCAAGTTGAGATAAGGTTTTTAAGTTTGATGTTATGCAATATTGATATTAAAGGTGTTTTACCTTATTTGATCACACTACAGTCTCTCTCAGATCAGAATCTTCTTCACAAGTTAACCGAGAAAATGTTGATGTGCTGTGAGACTTTTACAATTGGCGTCTGAATAGTAGTGACGAATGAGTTTTAGGCCAGTCATTTAGAAACGAAAATGCAATAAAAAACAACAATAAGGGGTCGGTATTTGAACATTAGAGGCAATTATGAATTAATTCTGAACATATTCATCAGAGCACCCTCAGGGCCTCAATTAAGCCTCAATTCTGCAGGATATCAATATCTATACAGCATGTAGATCACAGTCTGAGTCTTCTGTCTGCTCTCCCTTTAGCCACATGAGAAAAAAAAATGAAGTGCACGCATGTATCTTTTAGTAGACAGCAGGGAAAGAGGGTTGGTTTATCCACCAGAACGGGCTCTTCTGCTATAAACATCCGAGACATGTTATCAGACTATACCTGAGTTTGTGTTGTCATGCTGGGTGCTCTCTACTGTGTAATAGATGTGTGCTCTAACGGCACTTGTGCATCTGCTGCGTGTCGTCTGAAGCCATGCGCCGCCTTCACGTATGAGAGCATCCTCTCCAATCTCTGCATTTGGTCTGTAGTTCCTGAATTGGGATGAATGATTGAAGTCAGTTGGCATTAATGGACCAAAATGACGCTCTTGCTCCGCAGCCTGTTCCAGAGGAGCTGCAGAACGGACCCGGTTTCGGCTACGTGGTAGCGTTTCGACCCCATGGTGCCACAGGCTGGATGCAGGCGGCTGTGCCATCTGCGGAGGCATCCAAATACGTCTTCAAAAATGAGAGCATTCAGCCCTTCTCGCCTTTCCACGTGAAAGTGGGCGTTTACAACAACGAAGGGGAGGGCCCATTTGGATCTGTTACCACCATCTACTCTGCTGAGGAAGGTGAATCTCACATCTTGTTACACGAAGAATGACAGAGGTGCAATTCAAAGGAATCATGCCTCGGGACATGATACAAATCAAACATAACAAAATAGCCCTGTAGAAGCAGCATTTCTGCTCATACTGCTTCTACAGGACTTAAGAGGTAATTTGCTGCTAAGCATCATTGATCGTAAAAGCAGGTTTGGGCAGTTTTGCTGGGCTGTGCAATGCTCAGAGAAATCTTTTTTTGTAAAAAGGAGCTACATTCAAGACTCTAGTATTTTGAACAAGTGATGGGTGATGTTTTGGGCTTGGCGTTGGTGTAGATTTTCAGTCGTACAAGTCATAGTAATCCCAAAATGCTTAAGTGTAGGCTACTGGACTACTTAGATTTTGAAGACATTTAGCCTCTCTTAATCAGTTTAAAAACACTTTAAAAAACGTTTTATGGCCTTGTTCTGCCACCATAAACCACCATAAACTCCTCTGTACAATAGGATCCTAGAGTCAAATGTTAGGCCATCTGCCTGACATCTAAAGCTTGTCTGAAATCGCAAACCCAGCGAATAATCTACAACAGAATTTCTGAGGAAAAAAGAAAACTCAAGGTCTTGCAAAGGTCCACTCAAAGTCCAGACTGTAAAGGAAAGCTGAACAAAAATCCCTCCAAAAATTATTTGAGCTTGATGACATCACTTCAGGAACCATCGCTTCAAGTCACTGCTCTGAAGGTTAATTAGTTTTCACACGCTGCTTATGTGTCAGTTTTTTGTTTTTTTGTCCCTGTCAATTTTAAGACAACAGTATCATTTTTTTTGTTAGTTTTAGTTTTTTTTTTTCATTAAACCGTTTTTCATAGATGCATCTGATCTGAACAAATCAACCCTGGTTCTGAACAGTGGCTATTCTATATCACTATATCTATATCGCCACTGGTCCCGGCTCACCCCCTCCTTCTGTTGTTTGAATAAAATAAAATGCTTTAAACAGTTATGATGTTCCCTCTTTAAGGGTCCATCAAAGCCGAACGTCGCTCCTCAAAATCTCCTTTTTACATTAACTCCAGAGCCTGGCCGAGCTCCCACCAGGGTCCGTGCCAAGAGCCTTTCTGCATCAGAGGTAGAAGTTTGGTGGAAAGCTCTGCCCTGGAACGTCAGCAAGAGGAGAGTGCTGGGCTATGAGGTGAAATACTTTGTGTAATGGATGCACTCTTCTGTGTGTGTGCATGTTTGTGTGTGTGGGTGCATGGCAGCTAATCCTGTTGATCTTGTTGTCTTCTATTATTGATGAGTGTCTCAGACTCCTGCACCCTGGGCATATGAGATAATAGCTTGCTGCATGCATAATGGTTCAACTTGGTCCCAAGCCTGTGGGTTTAGCTGTGCCTCTCTTGTTGCTTACCTAAGTACTGTAGCCACCCTGATTAGCGTAGTGATGCAACACACTTAGGGGACAGCAACATTTAGCTTCTAATCCTCACAACAATGCTGTTATAGACGGCAGCTTTGCACTCGCCGCTTTAATTCCACTCATTATTCAAATCCAGCATGTTAACAAAGGAGCCGCCTTTCATTCTCCCGGATTCTCAGAATTATCAAATGTTGACCACTCAAAGTAAACTGAGGCGCTGGGGGCCTGGGCAAATCATTCCCGAAAGGAAAAACAGATTAGATTTGGACATTTCTTGACTATAAAATTCTGTTTACAGTGAAAGTTTATCTTGGCTGTATATTCTCTATTAGTTGTTTTCTCCCCTTCGACCCCATTGGGGAATAAGCGGTTACGATAATGGATGAATGGAGAGTTGCTTTCACATTTTTGCAACATTTAGCGCAAGGGTTTTGAACCCAGCAATGTTGCACATCTCACATGACAGGTGAGGTGACGTATAGCCCCTATTCAATTGAGTTTAGGCATTCTTGTGCTCAGTTTGCACGTCACTGACTGGGAGTCACAGAAGGCCCTTTAAGCCTGTCCTGTTTTCCTTCGCTCACGTCTGCGGTTCTGCCTTGTTGCCTTCCAGCTGAGGTACTGGAGCAAAGGTGAAAAGGAAGACATGGCCAGCGTACAGAGGACTCTAGGAAACCAAACCTCCACTGTTATCAACGGGGTGAAGGGCAGCACCACTTATTACATTTCAGTGAGGGGCTACAACACCGCTGGAACCGGTCCACCCAGCACCACCGTCAACGTTACCACCAAAAAACCCCGCAAGTGTCAGATGTCACTTTATGCCCTTTCTTGGATTTTGCTTGAGGTAACTTATTGGTTTTATGCTTTTTACAGCGCCCAGTCAGCCACCAGGTAGAGTGATGTGGAACACATCCAACTCCAAGATTATACTGAACTGGGAGCAGGTCAAAGCCCTGGAGAATGAGTCTGAAGTAACCGGTTACAAAGTAAGCAGACAGTCACCTTTTCTGAGGAGAGAATTGCGAGCGTTGCCAATATTTTTGTCTTTACCTCATCTTTAGGTGCTGTACAAGAAGAATCGGCACAGCCGTCCCAACATCATGGAAACCAACACCACCTCTGTAGAGCTGGCTCTTCCTACTGATGAGGACTATATCATCCAGATAAAGCCATTTGGGGAGGGAGGGGATGGGAGCAGTAGCAGGCAGATCACCATCCCAAAGATACCAGGTCAGTGGTGAGCTAGTTACTGCCTCCCACAAAGTTGGGCTGAGAAATATACTCCCCTACTGCCATTTTGACAGAACCAGATGAGCCACAGTCTCCTCTTAACAGTTGTTCTAGAGATGTGTCTAGAACTCTGTGTGGCATTGGCCTGGTCTCTAATCTGAGCTGCTGTTAACCTGCCATTTCTGAGGCTGGTAACTCAGATGAACTTATCCTCTGCAGCAGAGGTGACACTTGGTCTTCGTTTCCCGGGGGGGACCTCATGTGTGCCAGTTTCTTGATGGCGCTTGATGGTTTTTGTGACTGCACTTGGGGACACTTTCAAAGTTTTCCCAATTTTTCGGACCTTAATTTCTTAAAGTAATGGTGGCCACTCATTTTTCTTAACTTAGCTGCTTTTTTCTGGCCATTATACAAATTTTAAAAGTCTATTCAGTAGGACTATCAGCTGTGTATCCACCTGACATCTGCACAACACAACTGATGGTCCCAATGCCATTTATAAGGCAAGAAATCCCACTTATTAAACCTGACAGGGGACACGTGAAGTGAAAACCATTTCAGGTGATTACAGCTTGAAAAAAATCAAGAAAATGCACTGTGTGCAAAGCAGTAATCAGAGCAAAAGGTGGCTACTTTGAAGAACCTAGAATATAATACATATTTTCAGTTGTTTCACACTTTTTTGTTAAGTATATAATTCCACATATGTTAATTCATAGTTTTGACCTTCAGTGTGACTCATATATTCATGAAAATAAAGAAAACTCTTTGAATGAGAAGGTGTGTCCAAACTTTTGGTCTGTACTGTACATGTGCAGTGAAAATCAAATAACCTGGCAGCCCTCTTATTCATTTTAGCCCAAAATAACTAAAACAGGCTAAAGAGGTAGAAAATTAAAAGGATGATATGCCAACTGTGTGTGTGTATTTTTTTCGTCTTCCAGATGAAGCACACTTACTTCCCTGTTCTTTTTCAGGCCCTAATGCAGTCGGCTCAGCATCCAAGGTCTCCACTCTATCAGCCCTGAGTACAATAGCGCTGTCTTTCACAGCACGGACTTCTTTATGACAAACGGCTCCGAGGGACGTTGCATCTGATGTGGAGACAGCTCTCCAGCGGAACGCAAACATAGACCACTCTGGTGTAACTAAATCCATTCATTTAGATTTTAGAGGCAGAGGGAAGGTGCTGAATGAAAAAGGAAAGTAGGTCATTGAGATGGCAGATATGGAGTCCATTTCAGCACCCAGGCCAGGTGAAGAGGATTGACTGATGTCGTGACTATGTTGTTACCAAAGCAGCTTTCATAAGAGAAAAATTAATGAGAATAATGTCTTATATGCATCTTTTTTGTATGACTTGTGGAGCTTTTATAGATTTTGTTTTCTTAATGGGTTTGGAGTCGGCCTGGGTTGTTTGGGCAAGAAGATTTAGGTGCGTGCCAGGTAACATCATAAGGTTCAAATTTGGAGGTTTAGAATGTGATACTATAGCGCTCCTTTTTTCTTCTAAAATAAGCTTGAAAAAATGTTCCAGTCATGTGAATGAACTGTTGCTCAGTACATCTTTGTGTTTCAATCATCAGGTTTTGTCAGAAATATTTTAGCCAAAGGAACGCTTTGGTGTTGGTGTGAACAGAGTGTGAACAGAGGAGATACAGATGGTGTATGCTAATGTTTTATCGTACTGCAAGCCGTTAGCATTAGCAAAATTGCAAAGTTAGCTTGCTCAACTTATTTCAGATTAGATTTTATTTAAGAGGTTGGTGCAGATGGTTTTTGTTACTCTCAAGTCATACATTTGCAGCAAATAAAAACATCAAGTCAGTCTGGCACGAACACAAAACAAGCTATGTCAATATACTGAAATTGTCTGGAGTCCAGACAATAATCCCCTCTGTCCATAACATGGATACATTTTGAGATAAAGAACTAAATAAATTATCAATTGAAACTCCTGCCCATGACTTAAATGGGCAGGAGGGATGATGCTAGCAGTAAAACACTTCATTGAACAAGATGGTGCCCAGGAAACACGGAGTCTCTGCCAGCTGAAAGTCAACGTTTTAACATTGTTCACAAGTCCAATAATTATCAGAGATATAATGAGAAAAATCAGCCAGCAGTCTCATAGCATTCGATTTTGGCTTAGGGTCTATATAGCAATGCCGGGTTAGTATGGCACCGCCTCTGGTCCCCGAAAGGCAAGTTTCAGCAGCAAAAATTTTAAGAACAAATCCTATTCCTATTAGGACAGGACTACACAGTTAGTTTGACTGGTTTAGAAACTTGTGCAAGCTTGGAGGAGAAGTTAGCTAAGAAACAAATTGATTAGGTACTGGCTCATAGCTTCAATCTGCAACCTTTTAGAATAAGTGGCAGATATTGCTAGCACCTGGACAGAGATGGGAGTCTGACCAGTCTAGTATAAATAGAGCTCCTTTTCACTGAATAGGGTCAAACTCAAGCTATTTTAATGCTAGGATGGATAACATTCAATAGCTAAAACATTTCAAAGTTAAAAATGTTTGTAAAACATGTTTTTAAGCACTAAATGTTTACGATACTGGCTGTAGGAACAAAAGAAGGGGTTAAATACACGTCTGTCAATTGCACAAAGATGAGCATCAGAGCTAAGCTCACCTTAAATGTAGTGAGTTTACATTCAAGTCTATTCTGTTTAAGTCGATTTCTATTGCTACACAGGATAAAACCTGGCTTATTTAAGTACGAACATGTAGCCACCTCGGAATCACCCACTGATTTTATACAGTTTTCATGCCCAGAATGTGTCATGTGGCCATTGAAGTCTTGATATTTCCAAGCCACACCTAACATTTCCAATAGAAAGTGGCCATGACACTCGGCAGTCACTCAGAGCAGCTAAACCCATGGCAAAGTATCACTTTAGGTCTTTAAGTAGGTTGGAGTTTAAGACAATGTCCATAGAGTAAGTGAATAGAGTATATTTCTGGCAGTCGTAGGAAGCCGTAGGTGCAAAGTTTGTTCATTAATAACAAAATTGAGTTTTGCTAAGGACTGTTGATGTCATTGTGGTTACCCTCAGAAATGCCTGTTTTACAATTATGTGGACAGCGGGAATGATCCCAATGGGCAATAAGTCTTTCAGAATACAAATATGTAAGTCAATATCTCTCCTACTGGACACTAAATCATTGCCATGGGTCATTGTTAAAGGACAAGAACAATGCTTAAGGCATCCAAATGATAGAAGTACGATCAAGCTGTTGTGGAGAGTCTCTTTCCTGGGTTCCTCTACCTTAGCCATTGAATTGCACCCTCGTGGCTGCCTCATGCCCCATATGCTTTCAGTTCACCCTGTGTCTCGAGCTATTCTTTGCCTTCTGTGTGCCTCATCATATGTTCAAAATCCTCAGGTCCTTAAAGAGCCTTAACTTATCACGAGTATATCAAAAAGATTAGAGACGTAAAGCTACCAAGCAGCTGCAGCAACGTTTAAATGCTGCTGTGACAGTAGGAACTATTCATGGTGGTGGTGGGGGGGGACTCAACATCCTTCGCTGAGGTCAATGAGTTCGTTTGAATGGCATTCTGCTGTTTTACATGAGACATTGGCAATACACGAGGCCTGGTGCATTTTTATAGGTGTGTGTTCTTGATAAAAGACGATGCTGCTGATCTTTTCCTTTTCCCATAGTCTCCTGATGCCATGTGGGACCGCTGTGCCCCTCAGAGTGCAGTGCAGTCTGTATGTAGCTTGTAATCCAGTTAGTAGTTTGTAGTACTTTGAAGGGCAAGTGTACTGTAGGCTACTGGGTTTTGCTCAGAATCACGCATCAAGAAATGTGTATTATACTGTTTTGTACACCTCAAATCATTTATATAAAAGAACCTTTCTAAAGAGATGATTTACTTGGTTTTTATGTAACAACTCCGTTTCTAACCGTAGCTGAGCATGACTGTATGTTGTCCTCTTTCTTCTACTCATCTGCAAACTGATTGAATGGCTTTATAAACATGCAAGGTTCATGCATCTGATTTGTGTATACTGTGTGTGTACCATGAAATCTGAACCATTATAAGCCTTGTGTCCATGCTTTTGTCTCAGTCAGCCCCTCTGAGATGTACCACGCTCTACAGTAGGGTTCCCTCTGTTGCTGTTTGTTGTTTATACTGTGTGAATAAAGATAACTGGTTTATAGAACAATGCAAAGCTGTCAGTCCATCAATACCTATGAGTACCCTGCATTTCGTAAACACTCACTGGAGCCCACTTATACAATCTGATGTCATCAAACGTGAATTCAAACTAACTGCCCTCATGAAACCTTACAACTGAATATTTATGTTATATAATATCATACATCGGTTGTTTTTGTAATCTTTGTTCTGTCCCTTTCTGACGTCATCAATACATGTTTGCCTTACCATATTAAAGGGTTCTTCCACACAAAAGTGTGCTATGTTTATTTTTGCTTTTGATTTAGTGAGTTGGTTGCAGAGCAAGTGGAACGAACTAAACAAAAGTGAGAAAACAGACCCATAAATTGGCGCATCTTACAAAAGGAAGCAATATCATTCTAATTGATTCAAGTGAGTTTTATCTATGGTCTTCACAAACAGTCATAATGTGCATGAGTTTCTTTTAGCAAATGGTGGATTAGTTTTAATTTTGAGCTGTGTGTGATTGCTATCTTTACATTGACCATATTTATCATGCTGGGTCTGCCTTATACTTTCTCAAGGATTCTCATTGAATGTAACTCATTATATTCAGTGTTTTAGGAGCCAAGGAGGATTAAAATTCCCATAATGCATCATGACTTGTATCCCTTATTTGAAACGTTAATGCTGCTTTGGTTTCACTAGATGGCACTAAGAACACACAGATGACAAAGTGTCCAGCTGTGAAACTGATCTTTTACCACAAGATGTCAGTACAGTCTAAGTTAACAACTGATTTAGTGTTTAATTCATATCCCTAAATGATTCATGAAAACAGTTACATAACAGTCAAATGTTTTTACCTCATGAGTCTTTTTAAATTACTGTGGGTTACTATTCAAAGTGAACACATTTGCCCTTAATTTCAGAACCAGACACATTATTTGAGTCATACTGAGACATTTATTTATGTAGGTATGTTGTTTTCCATTTAAACTGAATGCAAATACAGCACATACACACCACTAAGCACTAGGGGAATGTAGAGCATAGGGCAGTCGAGAATTGAAGGTGGGGGCCCAACAGCAGAACAGTTTGATGGCCTTTACAAAGACAAATAAAATAAATAAATAAATCTATGAACAACACTGTGCTGGTTTCAACACATGTAAACCAGCACATTATGTCTGAGTGGAGACAAAAAGCCCAAATTCTGTTTTGATTTTCATTCATCACTAATTCGGAGGTGACATTATTCTACAAGACGAGTTTGATTCCGAAACAACTCCTCACCTTGGACATTTTTAACTCAGCACTGACGAATGTTGGCCCTGCTCCCGGTACTTTAAATGATAACTTAAGGCACCCACTCATGTTTTTCTCTCTGTTGCTCCATTGCTTTCCTTGCTTTCCTTAATGATTGGTGCCTTGACCATTCATCTGCTCCTCAAGAACACCCAAAATCATGAATGTTCATACTTCTAGTTCATAGAAGCCTCTCAGCATAGTACCTACTATCAGTAGTAAATATCTTCAGCAGTATGTCCAACTCAATAAGAGCCTTCACAACAATCCAGTGTCATATGAAAAGAAATAAAATATAGCTAAATGTAATATACAAATCAGCAGTTTGAGGATCTCTTTCTTCCACAGATAAATCAACAGCAGGTTGGCATTATCAAGCCAGGAGGACAGAAGATGAGGGCCACAAAGCCGTGTTGGAAAAGCTCCTTCAATTATCACCCTACAACTCTGCGTTATAGGTTTTGGTTACGCGTTGGTACACATAAGAGTTCACAGTTTTTTCCCTTTAGAGGACAAAGGATAAAAGCAATGGCTGCTTATTGCAAATCTCACAAGCAGTGTACATCACTGCCTCAGTTAACAGTAGCAGAAAGCTAACAATGACAGCAACAAGGCTAACATGGGTCAGGCTTCATCAGAGGAATTCTTATGACTGATAATTGATGCATAGTATAGTATAAGGTCACTCAGGACATACAGTGTGGATATATTTGACAACCAGCACGCTCTGCAGATGGACAGCATTCGGTGTGTTTTACTGTGCGCACTCTGCTTTGTCTTTACGAGGAGAATAGGGAGGGATTCACCTCTATCACTCCTATAAATATAAACTCATACAGCAAAACTTAATCCAACAGAAAAGAAAAAGTACATTAATCTTGTGGTTTGGAACTTTTCAGGCCATGTACATATGATCCAAAAAATCATTTAAAAATATCACTATTACCTGGACTGCTTTTGATGTTGCTAGCATGACTTTTGTAATGTAAAAATTAATCCTTGAATGTGAAAGATGCTGTTCACCATGTGTTAATATTGTCATTCGACTGGTGCTTCTTTAAAGAAATTTTCGTTATTTAATTATTCTTTTATAAAGTTTGCGTGAGGTTCTTCCAAGTAGCAAATGTGATGTATACCAATCGCCATACAATATTTCTCTCAAATTCCTTACATTAAGATATTAAGATGCTCCGCTTGCTTCTATTCCAGGTAAGTCACCCATACCCATAAATAACCATCTAATCAAAGCCCCCTTTAGAAAAAGTACACAGAATAGAATCCCTTTAATTAATTACAAAAAAAAAAAATCTGCTTTACCTGCCCAACCCCTTACAGCAGATAAAGTTAGCCAATTTAACACAGTGAAGGGTTAGCTAGCTAAACAAAAAATTAAATTAAATTGGGAAATAAAACTGAGTAATGGAACTTAAATACAAATGTCACTCCATATTCAATTAAATAAATCTAATGTTTGTCTCGATACATTTTGGCTATTGTCCTTGCACTTTAGTCCTTTTTTTGCCTTCCGTACATTTGCAGCGCAAAAACAACTGGGAATCTGCAAGACACGTAAGAAACTATACAAAATAAATACTGCTGCTGCTGCGAAAAAAAATAAAATAACTAAAGGTTCAGAATTGAATTTTTTTATGGAAATCTGGTATCACCCTAGATTTGATAACAGAGAAAGGAATGACAGTCTCTTAGCAGGCTTACCTGCTAAACAGAACTCTTAAGTCTGGTTCCCTCATTTGCTGTTCCTGGAAATCCTAGTCAAATCTAGCTGAATATCAACATTCCATCAACACATTTAACCAAACATTAATGCAACTTTAATTTAATTTAAGTATATTTTAGATGTCTTGTTTCTCACACTGAGTGATTCATGCTCAGTTAGTTATGTTTTGAAATATCAAAGTTGTGCTCTCAGCTCATGCTAAATCTATTTGATTGGCAATTAAGCAAAGTACAAGATATTAGGGCATAGCATTTTCACATATGAAGACTAAAATGTCCAAAAGCACAAGAACAACAGCTCGGTTCAGTTTGACTAAAATCAAAGAAAAAAAATGTAAAAACACAGCATCATATTTGAAAAATTTAGTAGACATGATTCATATTAAAACATTCCTCTAAAAATCCTATCTAGCCTCTCTTTCTGATGGTGGCGACTTGTCATCAATTTGAAGTGATAACCATGATGAACAAGAACAGTGATTTTTTTGTTATTTGGAGGTTAGTATTAGCTGTCCAACAAAGTGTTTCTCAGTCTGTCCGCTTCAGTACTGACATGTTTCTATTCATCCTTTCCACCTCGATGCTCCCTCCCATCATCTAAGGAGGTTTTAAATGTAGATGTCTATATTTGTTCCATTCCCTCTGCTATTATTTAGTGATTCATGCAGATAATAATCACCTGATATTATACATATTTCATAAACAGGCAAACACGGAACATAAATTAGATGTTCTATGGATAAAAATGTAAAAAGCTAATAAGACAGCAGTTGATTAAACTGAAGGCGTAACAGCCAGGAGGTGACAACAATCAGCAGAAGCTCTTCTTGGCACCTCCCCCCTGGACCCACACCATCAGCAAGATCTACATGTAAATCTAAATATATATATATATATATATATATGTATATATATATGAAGACAGTTCTGTGAAAGGGGGACTCATTGGCCAAAGGAGCCAAAACATTTTTAGATTCATGACGAATCATCAAAAAGAGGTTGTTTCCTGTTGGCTGGAATGGTCCAAGAAAGGAAAGGGCAAGAGGCTCGTCTGAGTTTGAGGCCGTGTCAAAGTTGGCTTGTCTAAAGGGACAAGAGTGCAGGTTTACTGCTTCATGGAATGCAGTCTGTTCTGGTGACAGCTCATACACAGTGGAGAAGGAGTCCTTGGATTGGATTGGTGGTGAACTGCCTGGCGGGACAGGAGACACTCAGCTGGAGGGTCCTCCCCCATTCCCGTCTCAGAGGCCAACATAGCCGATCATGACTGCAACGAAACCACAACACACAGATCTGACTGGAGTGCTCACACTTAAATGAGCCAACCATTGGACTTCTACGGACAGTGTTTTATTTTAGTTTTGTTTGTTCATTCTGGCTCATAGCTGTCACAAATCATTAGAAGCTCAAATGCAGAACTCCTGTGAAGTCCTAACAAGTCCTGTCCACTGTTTAAGAATGTGACTAAAACAATACAGCCTCAATAGACAACAATAGGGTGACCATGGCAGAGAAGGAAGTTTTTGAGTTGGTGAATCAAGACAGGAGGAGGACATTACCTCCACGGAGATCACAGAACAACTTGGCTGCAGGCTAACCATGTGTATTGAAAAATTCTGACCAATCAGACACTAGTTGTGGGATTGGTTGCTTCAGTAGAAAAAAAAATGTAATTCTGTTCTTGCAGGGTTGGGAATCAGAACAAATGTCATTGCTCTCATGGAATGCACAGTCCACAGTCCTTTTGGAGTCCCTTTGCATCTATGTCTGCATTCCAGTTGGACTGGAAATGTTACATCAAATAAGATCAACGCGGTTAAATACAGGAAGCGAAACTTAACCAGCTTAAAGGAACAAGGAAGGCTAAGTTGGGCTGTCTTACCAAGAACATAAAAACGGATAGAAGCTCTTGTGGATGATGACTGTAATGCTGAGGTGGCTGCTAAGATAAATTCAAACACCTAAATTGAGTTTTGTCAGGCAAATGAGAACCTTAAAGGACACCCAAGCCAAGAGGAAATGCATAATGTTTGGGTGTATTGGTATGAGCCAAAGGCCATCTACCTGAAAACCTTTGTTGAGAAAGTTGAAGGTTGGCTCATAATAAGCTAAAGCAAAGTAGGAAATCAAAAATTGGGCCAGCAGAAAGTGCTTCTATGTTGTCATCTAAACATGACAAACAAAGGATAGCAATCAATCTTCTTCTGTGGTTTCTTGAAATGGGTCTTCAACTGCATCTTTTGCAGGTGGAAACAAAAGCTATAGAAAGAGGAAGCATCACTTAACTTCAGGCTCCAAACTCATATAGAAATTCTGCCAAAATTCTGCCTTTTACTCTGTTAAACATATAATTTAATGTGTAACCAGTTTCTCCCCTGATGATGACACCATCTGTTAAACTTTTATGACAACTTTATAAGATGTCTACGATCTCCAGAGAAGTCTGTTATCTAGCATGCATTCTGAAAAATGGACCCTGGGCTTTAAACGTGCTGATGGGGTAATTTTTTATAAGTTATTCTGTATCACGCTTTAGTCAACTTATACATAAAAAACTTCACATCTGATCAAAAACTCAGCCCATCCCAGCAGTGGTCAGGTAACAATAAAACGTGCCCGTGATTTCTGGTACCTCTGCTTTGTGCCGCAACTCCTTAGTGGGAGACTCCGTTTCCCTGATAACCACTGCTTTTGTCACTAGCATGTCGGGATGCTGCTGCTTGGCCTCCTGGATCGCCAGGGCGAGCGCCTGGAGCCATAAAAAACCAGCACACATGTCAGTGATCCACCTCCATTACTTTTCAGGGCTCTCTGAGTTGTTTACCATCACATATTGGACACATTGGAGCATGTCCGCGACGCTCCCCCTCACCTGATGTTGGTCCACATCATCGTCCCCAGTGATTATAATCCTTTTTTCAATTCTTGTCTCCGAGTAGCCTCCTTTAACTGTCTGTAAAACAAATAACAGAAATCTGTTCTCAACAATCACAATTTTCAATTATCCCAAATGTATCAATGGCATGATTGCTCTTTATACATTTCTGATAAGAACAAATCAGTCACAATTGAGTAAAAGCTGTTTTGGATACTTAGTAATAAAACATTTATTTTCTCTATCCTTAGAATTATTATTTTTTTATTGATTTTTTGGGGGTAAATCGGTATGTTTGACAATGTATTGATTACCATAACAAAACATGATTTGGATGAAGTTGCTTCTACATACAGATGTTTTAACCATTACAAAAACACAAAAGAACGATTTTGATAACAAACAATGCTGCCCGCTCATAGCAGGTTGGGGACAATTGCTTTGATGATAATATGTGGATCGATATTATGAGTGTGCATAGTGAAAGCTTATGTAAAATTCACCTTGTGGATAGATAAAACTGTGTTATCAATCTAACAACGTATCATGCCACATCCTGAAGACTAAGGTAGTAGCTAAAAATGTACTCACAGTATGAATTCAGGCAGTCATTATTGCATCTTAAAAGATCTGTTATACGTTAAAGATCTGTAATTCCTAAAACATAACCTTTACATCAAGGCTGGAAGGCTGGGCTTTAAACGGCTGTTCTTTATTTAAGAATGCCTTCAGAATTGTTTTAAGACTGTGCTACCGTTTAATTCAATTAAAATTCAACAGGTCTTAATGTTCAGGCTGTGCCAAATAATATGAACTGATTGTTGTACTGACCCTAAGTTTTGGTAATTAAACTGTAACCATGGAAATGGATACCGCATTACCTTGGTAACTTGTGTTGTGGTGGCCGAGGTGACACTCTCAGCTGTGATGGTCAGTGGGGACACAACAGGCTCCCTCTCCTGGGTGCCAGCTTTAACCTGCCGAACATTTATTACACACAGGACACACTCAAATGCAGCCCACATGCAGTCCAACAGATCGAGTGTGTGACGTCAATGGATATCACAAAGACGCGAGACCAGGATCATTTATAGGGTGGATGTAATGGACCACAGTAATAGGGGGATACCTCAGGGTACACTTAATCAGTATGATCCAAAACAAACATTTCTGATCTCATAAAACAAGAACAGAGAGAGAAATGTATTTATCATAAATTGTATGTAGAAGCCCAAGGATGCCTTAGGGTGTGGCACAAAATTGTGTTAACATTACACATTATTAGAGGTTTATAAGACAACGAATAACCATAGACAAATTTCTGACAATTTATGATACAAAGTGACTGCGGCCTTCTATCTTCTGTCCTCAAATAAGGGTACAGCCCACAGCAACATTGCATGAGGTGATGTGTTGGTCACTGGAACACTAATTTGAAACCCCAAACAAGAAGGGATGGGATGCCCAATCTCTGCATTGCATTTCCTAACTCAAACCTACACGTTTTAAACACTTGTTGGGACTTCGGCACCCTTTGAAGACAACAAACATCACCACATTTTCAGGTAACCATCGTGTTAAAGTGTGTCACTATGATAATAATAACAACGTTTGCTCTCAGGAGAAGGGAGAAGGGCTATTACTGGAAGCATTTGCTGAAACACAGGACAAACATCCAGAGAACAAAACGATGGCAGTACCATGTCTAAATTCATAAAGCGAATCATTGTCTTGACAGAAAATAATAGTCCTGTGGCAGTAAAGTCTAGAGGACATTTGGCTCCTGTGACATGATTAATTTTGACACTCATTCATGAGGATGGAAAATAAAGTTCAATAAATGAGATAGGGGAAAAAATTTGGACATTTGCCTCTGTTTTTATTCTGTGCCACAACACACTAGCACACACACAGTCACTCTAATGTATTCCACCATAAAAACACTTACAGGGGAGCCATTTTCTGTAAGAGCAATGGGAGCCTCTTGAGGGCTGACAACTTCATAGTTCTAAGAGAGAGGGAGAGAGAGAAATGGTCTTAATTGACAGTCTGTTATCAATTTCTACAATACCAAATAATGGGAATAAAGGGATGCTGGGAAACTTTGAAATCAAGCACGAGCAACTAAACCATCTCAAATATGCTATGGTGCTCTGGATTTCAGTTAGTACATGGAGCACTGGATTTTCTTTATGAAATGACCATACCAATTATTACACGTCAGACACTATAGTTAATAAGTTTTCCATTCCAAGTTTTAAAGGGCTAATTAAATTTTTTTTTAAAACATTTTTAGAGCGGACACATTTCCACTTCATTTATTTCACTGTTTCTACTTGGTTCTCCTGGGTTCTCTACTCAACTCAGCTCAGTTGTTTTCTAATACCACATAATTGTTTGTGGGGTCGTTACAAAAAGGCAGAAGGTTTGAAACATGCTACACCTCATTTATGAACCAAAGAGTTGTTCTGTGTGCTTATTTACCCCATCAACAATCACAAGGCCCAGGATTGGAAAACCATCCAAGTGGATGCCAAGAATGTAACTGACACCAGATGTTATTGCTTACTGGAAAACCAAGAGTGGAGTCACACTGAGTAGGTTCTAATGAAAAAGGGCCAAAAGTTTCCTTGTATTAAAAGCTTGAAAAGGTTTGCAAATCATAAAGGGACTCTTTAGGGAGGACTATTAGTGTATTAACAGGTGCACCTTCTGTCAAACTTTATCTCTCAAGACGGAAAGCCTCAAAATGACCTTCCAAGCAAACTTTAAAATGTCCCAGATCAATATATACAATTCAATTTGTCTACAAACTGTCTTCAAAGCAGCAAAGAAACCTCACATCATTATAGTTTCACCACTCTGCTCCTCAAATAACATCATAAACTGTAACTGTAAAACTAACTCTTTAGCTTTGAGTCTTTATTCCCAATAAGTATCAAGACGCTTTCCTGAAGCCAAAGCACTAACAAATACCATAACAACTAACCACTGTGATTCATTTCTATCATTATATAGCACATGTAATATTACCATTAGTCCCAGAGCTGTCGGATGGAATTTCTGATTACAATTTAACACCGTTTGTCCTTGTAACACAGTTATAGCTGTTAGCCAAGACAAAACACTTTTTCCAACAACCTGATGAAATGATGCCTTGCCAGAAATTCTACTATATGCAGTTAACGGCAAAGTAGCAGCTATCCTAGGAAAAATATATCAGCTATTGTTGACCCTACAGATTTGACATGTCCCCCTCTGGTGGGTGTACAATGCTGCTGCATCTGCTGGAGATTTATACCTGCCTACAAATGATGTCATCACCAATTTGCAGCAGATAAACACACACACACACACACACACACACACACACACACACACGCACGCACGCACGCACGCACGCACGCACGCACGCACGCACGCACTCACGCACGCACGCACGCACGACGCACACTGCTGAGGCCTAATCTGACAACTTTGAAAATCTGACTCAACACTGATCTGGCAATTCAAAGGCACTTTCCCTACATAATTTCCTGAGTTAGTCCACAAAATTAGCAGAATGGTTAACGAGCCCAGCCATGATTAAGTTTTAATAAGTCACCTGCGGGACAGCCAGCCTTCAAATCTTTGTTTCCGGAGATGAATGGGAGTCACATCTGCTTTCATCATTCTCATTAATACTCTGTCAATATTTTAACCACCCCTTAATGATACTATCATGTCCGCCATTCCTGGGGGATGCTGCAGTCCTGCCACTGAAACCTGCAGAAAAAGCTTTTAGGTCTGATCCAGACCCCAGAGCTCAACACAAATTTAGAATTCATATCATAGATCTGTTTAGGGAATAATGGACCTGATCCTGGGACACTTTTTTTCCCATCCTTCTACAGCCTTTTTGTATATGCAATAAATTAGGCCAGAAACTACGATGCACAGTTCCTATATTTTTTCCCCATTTTCCCATACTGCATCCTCAACAGCTTCAAAGTTACCAAAACCAAATGGCAATAATATAGTATTTATTATTTAATATAAATTACTTTTACAAACTACAAATAGTTTTTACATTATCTTTTGTTAGCAGATTAAAGAAGTAAAACCTCATTGACAGCTGGTAGATTGATTAGGTATAATTATTTTTCCTACATTTTGAGTTTGTGCTGAGCTACGCTGACTAAATTTAGCTGGCAGATGTCTGACCACAGTTTCTTTATCTACCTTTGGTTAGTCTGCTCCAACTGGATGGCCCTGTAACTGTGTCTGTGACTTATAAAGAGGCAGAATTCCCCATGTGTTGTTCCTCTTTCCTAATGTTTCAGCACAATCTCTTCTGTTTAGCTAATCCATCCTGGGGTCCTGTTTCCAACTTTACGAGAAAAAGGTCTCCACAGGGTCAGCTTTGACACAGCAGCGTGTCTTTTATCCCTTTTAGCCTTTTGATCTGGGCAACGCTGTGAGAAAAGAAATGCATATAAAGCATATTACAGCCAAGCTAATATTGAGGCTGTGTCAGATCACGTTCTGATAATGGAATCAGGATTCGAACAGTTTGGATCAGTGGCAGGTATAGGGCTAAAAAATACAGCTGGACTGGGAAGATGGAAGAATCATCAGCATATTCTTTATCTGATCTGATCTGAGCCCTGATCTGAGCTCATGACTATACTCAACATTTGAAAAACCTCAAAAATAATTTCTATTATATCTAGCTGTTTGATTTTCAGCCTGAAAATATCACCAAAAAAACACAAAACCAACCACAGAGCAAACCACAAAACTTTGAATGGAACATTCATTTGTATCCTCCGAAGAAAGGGCCCCTGAAAAGGAACCAAATCAAGCAACGACAGACAATTGCTTGCTTAAATGAAATCGGCTATTCAAACAAAAACCCAAATATATGTACACAAACCAAACGTGTTTAGTTAACCCCGAGCCAGTTCTAACACGCCGGCGGCCTGTTCCAGTATTTACCAAACTGAAATGCATTTTTAAAATGTCTTTAAATTATTTTACTATTTTTGCTATTTACCTGTGATGAGACATTTATGATATTTGGATGGGGTTCCGATCCATTTGTGTTCGTCTCAGACCGAGTGTCAGCCCTCTTCAGCTTGTGAGCCAAGTTCACAGCGCTGGGGTCTTTCTTTGCTACAGGTGGCTGCATGAGGAACAAATAGAACAGGGGTGGTGAGTATTTCCCTCCAGGTATTCATAACAAAATCACAGAAAAACTGATAACTTAAAGCAGAAAAACCACAAACTTAAAAAAAAAATCTGCTTGCAGTGTTGATGATGACAGCAAATCAGAAGGGAATTATGCTTACAAAAAAATGACACTCAAACAAAATATTAAAAGAAAATGGTTGAGAACAGCACGAATCAGTCCGAAACACAAAGAAAAAAACAGGGAGTTATTGCGTCAATTCCAGTCAGCCAGGGTGAATCCAGGGGGTGATGATGAAAGATGAATATATTCATCTCTCTACCTCATGATGTGCTCCCTCTTCAGGAAGCTTCTCCTCCATGGGAAACTTGTCCCTGGAGCCCATTAGACGGGCTGAGTAGAACCGTGACGTCTCCTCAAAGTCCTCTTGTCCCACCTCAGGCATCTGCTCCTTTTCTCCCAGGTCTGACATGCCTTTGGAAAAGTCCTCCATCCCAGAGTGGAGGTCGGTGATGATGGTGAAGTCCACCTCGGCCTCCAGGCTGGATGTGGAACTGACCGTCATGCTGGAGCACTTACGCTCGATGCCCAGGTGGCTTTCCCTCATGCAGGCCACAGGGTCCCGCTCTTGCTCCTCCTCTGAGCCCACACTCGGCTGAGCACTTCTCTCCCCAAACTCTTTCTGGTGCAGGAACAGACAAAGCATCGCTTCACCGTTAAGTTTGGAACCGCAGGAAACTGGATGGAGGCCGTAGGGAGAGGGACGAGGGTTTATCCTTTATGTGCAGCATGTATTAATCGACTGATGAATGATCCCAAAATCAAAGTCATGTACATGCATTATATACAGAAGGAACCGGGAAAAAACAGTAAATAAATTATTAAGTATGCATACTGCGATTTTAAGAGAGTCAGGCAAAGCCATAGTAAGCAAACTTCGGGACCTGTATAATCTGAAAGGTTACACAGAGCTAAATCCATCGGTCAAGATGCACAAAAAAGACAGTGGTAAACATGTCTCCATCCTAAGGTTTGTTTTTTTGTTTGGTTGGTGGCCCTTCAGTTCTACATTTGATGACATTTTATAAATATGACGTAGATGGCATGTCATTTGTTTGTACTCATAACAAATGACAGATTTAAGGTTTCTGTTGCATGTAAAACAATTCAAGGGATTGAATTGGGGACCTCTATATCTGCAGCCAAATCCTCTACCACTAACCTACCACTATAATGGCATTAGCCATTATAGTGGCTAATGTCAATTTGTCAAACAAATATATATATATATATTTTTTTTAAACAGAATAATCTGCAGTCAGTAAGCATGGATATATTAAACACGGAGGGAAAAGGGGGTGATGGTATATCTTATAGAGGTGGATTTAAGAAAGGATTATAAAGAAATAACCTTGAAGTCAGCAAAAGGTTCCTCGTATATGGCAGGAGTGGAGACAGGCTCCTATGGGGGGGAAGCAGAAAGAGAAAAAAAAAGAGCATGTAGAGGAAAGCATAGGCTTGAAGGGGACAAGCAGGCCCACACCACACACAAAATTCTTAAGAGCAGTGCTTCGCTTCAGTCTGAAAATAAAAGCTTACAAAAGACGTTAGCGCAAAAATAAACGGAGAATACTTGATAGCTAATGCAAATGCTAAACAAATGGCTAACAATTCAGCATAGTCTTTTATTTACATCTTATTTTCCCTTTTTTTGTGTTTGGTAATTTACACCCAAGTTTAGGTGTGAAATCCAACCGGACCCGATGGACCTGTGGACCTGGTTCAGATCCTGTCAGGTTTAAATGGATTTGGGCCTAAATTTCAAGCACTTCAACATTAACAAAGCATACGGCAAGAAGGCCTTATGAAACAAAAGACATCTTTAGCCATCACATGTGCCCAGCAAACGAGGGATGAGTCGTGCAGATTGTGTGCTTTTTTTCCCATAGCTGCCACTGAAATAGAGCTGCAACCAGCATGACCTTTTTGGTAAATGACAGTTTGACTGTAAGGAAATTCAAAATTTGAATACAGTGTTTGCAAGCATATTTGATCAAATAGGACTGCACATTGGGAGGTGATTAGTTGAAAACAAGTAGGCAGAAAGCTTGAAAGCTACAGCTACTGTTGCCTTCCCATAAAGTGAACAAAACAAAGCATTTCAATTGAAGATTAAGTGTGAAAAAAAAGGGGGGGGGGCTTGCACTTGTATGTTAAAGACTTGTAGAAATGGCTTAAAGGCAAGGCAAGCAGATTCAATTTGTATCCATACGTCTTCCGCAGATTTACTGTATAAGCAATCTTTTAGACTTGGCTAGTACCCTGTTACAAAAACGTCTTTACAAGTTACAGAAAAATAGTCCACATACAACCCAGTATTCTGAGTTATTTGTCCACTGATCCAAAGCGTAGCAATTTTACATTATGGGCTTAAAAGTTGTGCCCATCACATTGGGCTAAGAATGTGTAAAAGTTCAAAAACAGAAAATATATATTTGTCAGGTTAGTATTAGTAGTAATCTAGTATTGTCATTTTTCTCAAAAGATCAGGACAGTTGCAACCCTCTTTGAATCTAAATTTAGCTTTCATGAAAGATGTATGGATATACTTCTGTCAAAAAAGTCTGTCATAACGACTTGGTCCACATGTTTTGAGGACCCCCTTTTAATTTCCCACATCCCGGAGTGCAATCAAATCCTGATATGATTGGCACACACACACACACACACACCAAGAGCTAAGCAGAACCTCCTCCCATGCCTGTTTAATCCAGCAAGAGCTCAACTCAGATGAAAAGGTGGGAAATGATGAAAGCTGTCGTGTCTATTTGCCTCAAATTCCTTTCATTCCAATGCCAAATATGCGCAAGCTCCCAATGATACCAAAAATGAAATGAAGATAGCAAATCTGACTGTTGGGCACGGAGCTGTGGCATCTGCCTGCTCACTGCCTAATGGACTTGACTTTAAGGCAGGTGCACTTGAATTAAATAATAGACAATAATTTGCAGCCCGATTTATTTTCACACGAGAATTATCAGGAGGTTTTATAATTCTGTTTGTACTTACTGAAAATGTGTGCGATAGCCTCTTAATTATTTTACACACATGTCTATGTTCTGAGATAATGGCTATTTTTCGCCCAATTCAACTACGATCAGAAATGAGAGTCTCTTTCCTTTCCAATAAGACAGTTAAAGTGAACTGGAGCCCTCAGCTGGCTCTCAGCTTAAAGATGGCAAAACAGAAGCCAGAAAAAGAAATCATGAAATGCTGATTTTTGGCTTTATAAACTTTCACAGCCAGTTCTGCATTGTGCAGATTTGCCAGACTGTGGTGTGCCTGTTAAAGGCAATGGAAATTAATAAACTGGGGCACCATGTGAGAAAATGTATTAACTTTTTGGCTGATTTTCTTGCCACTACAGAGAGTGCCACTCTGCCTGCTCCTCAAACACAGACAAATCAGATGGATGAATGTTGAGTCACTGACAACTTAGAGAAAAAGAAAAATGTGCAAGTCTGTCTGAAGCCCATGCTTTATTTCCAATGACTGAATAGCAGATGCCAAGCAGAGTTACCGAGTGTCTCTTCTTGGCTGCGTCCAGGCTCGGCTCCCGGCCGGCATTTCGGCTGTTCCGCAGTATTAGCCCAGACTCTCGAGCTTTCTGTGTTTTCACCGGCGGAGCTGGGGGAGCCATTTTGGGAAGCGCTGAAATCTTTGAGCCCAATGGCTGATTCTCTGTGGAACCTCTTCCAGGAGGAAAGTTATCCTCTGGGTGTTCAGTTTTACCCAGAACATCTACATCTGCAGCACATGCTGATTGGAAGGTGGGAGCATCGGTCCAGTTGAGGTCTGAAGATCCCTCTGGAGAGCCAACCGACCAGCGGTATTCTCTTCTGACGACACATGCGGGCTCTTCCAGTCCCGCCCGGTCTCTTTCATCCTTGCATGTTACACTCTTTGACCGCTCTGGCTTTAGTGGAACAATTCTTGTGATTTCCGAATGGTAGCTACTGCCTGACAATCGATGGAGGGATGTCTTCTGGCTTCTGTCGCCCAAAAAACCCTCCAAATCCTCAGCTCCAGAACTACTGATCTTTCTTTCGTGTGTCTTGACTTGTCGAAGTTTTACCTCTGCTAGCTCTTTGTTGTCAATGAGGCCTTTCCCTCGCACCTTCATCACACACTCACCCTTTGCAGCAGGTAATGAACTATCATGTTCTATCTTCGCAGGTCCATTCAATGAGCCCAAATCAATATCTGCCATCCCAGTCTGGTTCCCTTTTTTCTGTATCTGCTCTGTTCCTTGATTGGAGACATGCCTGCTATCCCCTGCTTGTAAATATTCTTGTTTGCTATCTTTACAGAACTGATCATTTTCTAACCCCCGATCATCTACCATCATGAAAACTGGGGACAAATGATTTCCTTGTTTAGAGATTTTCTCTGAATTGTTATCCGAGTCGTAGCCCTCATACTCCTTTCCAGAAGAATCACTCCCGTCTTTCATGTCAATTAGTTCTGCTGGCATTCCCAAGTTTAAGCTTTGTGGTCTCCTTTTCTTTTTTGGTTTAGAAGCCACCCTGTCCATTTTCTGGCATGAGACCAGGGTCACATCGCTGTTGACCTTTGTGTCTGAGGATTGAGGTGGCTTAGATTTGCCTTCAAACGGGTCCTTATCCTCATATAGCTGTATCACAGAAGGCAAAGTCTCTGAACATACTTCCACATTTCTGGGGGATTTGGGGGGAATTTCATCAATATGGCTTTTCGTTTCTTTCCTGTCATACCCTGTTACTTCTTCATGTATGATCTTGGTAATGTCTGGTTCTTTTTCCTGCTCCCTTTTTTCCCACATGTTTGATATGAGAAATTTGCTCTTGTCTTCTGACTTCCAGTCATGATCTTGTTGATATAGTTGTTTTTCAATCAATACCCACTCTTCAGAGCCCTACATGTTGGTATAAATCAAACACAGTTAGACATGCTAAGCACAGCTCCTAAAAAAATCACTCTACACAATGATTTAGATCAAAGTAAATGAGGTAAAATGCACAGCTGAAACATCAAAGGGTTTAAGTATATATTTTGCAGTTTGTAGTTTAAATGACTAATGAGAATAGCTGTGCATTTTAGCAGGGTTGCTATATACATAAATGTTATACATAAAAGTGTTTTATAATAAAAAGGAACAGGCAAGGATGTGCAACCTCAGGTGAAGTCACCAGAGTCTTCTGGACAAAACCCTCTACAGACAGGCTGTTAACAGGGTCCTTTCCCACTGCTCGACCCGCCAACTGGCCGACAAGCAACATAGGAGAGTTTAAAAGAGAAGGAAGAAAAGCCATTAGAGCCAAGTGCATAGCAAGGTGCAAAGTGTAAAAAAATTAGGGAAGAACAAGAGCAATGTGACTTAGTGGAGTTACTACGCATTTTAATGAGCTTCAAATAAAAATATGGAGTATTTTGTACCTTACAGGTAAAGCATGCCTTTGCAAGGCAAATATTTCTTTCAGTTAATTTTTTTCATCAAAAAGCTGACATAGCCTGAGTCTCTCAAAAAGAGTCATGTATTATTTCGAATGTCAGGTATACAGAGTTATACCCCCGCTCCTCTGGAATGAGGCACAAGGGCTGATTAAATATTCCGCCACAAATAACGTTTGACATTCTATCAACTTAATCTGATTGTGCAAGACAGCCATTTAGATATTGCCGGAGGGCATCTGAGGCACCGGGAGAGACAAAGACTACCCAATCTGAATGGTCCAGTCTCATCTCTCATTATACCAGAATGGGATTAGGTCTTTATGGAAAACATCATCAGTACTAATAAAATAAGTGCTTTTCAAATGCTACTAATTGAGGAAATGCCAGTGTAATTTCATCAAGATTAAAGTTGCTTGTCTGTCCTTCTCATGTATCTGAGACATTAGAACTGAACTCTAAACTAAAGAGAGGGTTAGAATGGACAATCAAATGCATACATGTTTAAACAAATTGTGACAGAAAACCCTTTGCACAGCACAGACCCATTTGGAATGCCAGAAAACCAGACCTACCTTGTTTCTTGTGGGATTTGCGAAAGGAGCATAGTTTGTACACAGTAATGTCAAGCTAAAACACGTGAAGTGTGAAATAAATAAAAATATTAGATTAAAAAAATTGAAACATTCAAACAAACAGTTTTGCCAAAGATAAAACAGTTAAAAAAAGTCAACCAGCTTGATTTTGTCCAGATGAGAAATATTAATGGACATTTTTTTTCGGAATATCAAACATCAGAGAGTCTCTGACCAGACATTGACCCCCCCCCCCCCTTCCTTCAACCAGTCCCCGACTCACAGCCTTCTTCTCTGGTGTTCCAGTTGGTGATGTCTCTGACAGACACTTCTCACGGTTTATCAGCTTGCTGTTGGGCTCCCTTAGGGCTTTCTTCAGCTCGTTGATGCTAGCTTGGTGCTTCAGTATGATGTCTTGTGACTTATCCAAAAACTGGAGATAAAGAAAAAAAAGACAGAGAATTTACAGGACATCAATAGGCTTCTCACGCTTCTAAGCTGCTGTGTGGGACATTGGCAATGACCATAAGGGCTCAAAGACAACAGGAAAATCAAAGGCGCAAGTTAGACTTATTGTTAAGCATGGATTACCATTGCGTTTTACAATATCGTATTGGTGCCCACGGGTGCCATTTAAACCCAACGAAAGCAAAACCAGCCACAGCTGACTTGGTTTTTGAGATGCATTTGAGTGCCATGATCAAAGCACCAGCGTCAGATGTAAATGAATGATGAAATCAATTTGAAATCTCAAGTTATTAGTTTGTTTGGGTTAAGGGCGGAAATGAGTACTCTCTTTCCACAAGAAAGACTACTAATTTCAATATATCTTTGAATGCTAAACACATCTTTGAATGCTTATATTCAAAGTTCAGCGTGAATTGCAGCAGGCTGCTTAACTGAGATCTTCTCTTAGTTCTATGGTTACATTATTCATTGACGCATTGATGTATTACGTTGTACACAGTCAGGTTTTACTCACCGCTGTCCGTCCTCTCCATTCTCACTCAGAATAACTATTTTATTTTTTAATTTAAACATTTCTTTAGAGGTTTAACATGAAAAGAGGGTTCCCGGTTCAAGTCCCTGGGGGAGCAGGAGCTTTTTGTGTGCAGTTAGACTGTTCTGCCCGTGTCTGCGTGGGTTTTCTCCAGGTACTCCAGATTGCTCCCACAAAAACATATATGTTAGGTTAATTGAAGACTCTAAATTGCCCAAAGGAGTGAGTGCGAGTCCATGGTTGTTTGTCTCTGCATGGCCCTGTGATGGACTAGCGACCCAAATGCACCACATTTAAGATGATGTAATGACGGAAAATGAGAAAACCCCAAATTTATTCTTGAAATATTTAAATTTTCTTTAAGCTTGGGAGTTTGGACATGAATAATTTCACAGGATAACACAGTAGTTTAAACTTTAAATGTGATGTTATGCTGATCCTTTGCTTTATTAGGAAAGCGAGAAACCAACAGCAGCAACAACTATCCGTTCCACAACTACCCGGAATTTATTTTTGAAATATTCCAATTTTCTTTAGGCTTGGGAGTTTGGACATGAATAATTTCAGAGGATAACAAAGTAGGTTAAACTTTGATATGATGTTATGCTGGTCCTTTGCTTCATTAGGAAAGTGAGAAACCAACAGCAGCAACGACTCCCCGTTCCACTTTTCCTTTTTTCACATTGCCACAAGGAATAAAGATGTCACTGTTAATTATTTATTTCCATGTGACTGAAACTAAATCATAAGGAACAACAACTATGCTGTTTGCTGACATAATGTGGAGGTATGGGAGGGCATGAAAAATTTAGCTGAGACATCACTGCTCTCCACAGGAGTGCGTGCTTCCAACTCAGACCTGCTAAATGAAAACCAGCAAGCAGTCATATATTAACTTATTTAGAAATGGGTTCCTATGCAATTCAAGAAGTCATGACTTTTTTTTTTTTTAATGTGCGGAACTTTTAAACATATTTGTTGAGGGGGGTGCATTGCATACTTATGAGTTTGTGTCTCAGCTCCTTCAGGCTGTGGTCAGAGTGCTCTCAGTTTAGAGAGTCTGGGATGAATTCTGTAATGGAGAGCTAATGGCTACTCATATCACAGTCAATGGAAAGCTCTTTTCTACTTCCTCAACCTGCGGTGCTGCACATCACAGTACACACAATGGCTACGCAAATGGGGCAATCCAAAAATACCAGATGTAAAACAGTGAAAAGTGTCAAAAGAGGCCGGTCAAAACTCAATTTTTACCATCTGGTAAAGCAGACAAGTCAAATACGGCTCCAGTCACAGGAAACGTTGGGCAGCCAGCATACATGCAATTCTCCAAATTGAGAGAGGTCCCTCTATGGACTTCATACAATTCTGCTATGATTGAACCAGAATATCTTCCTTGTAACCTTACAAATCTTTTAAAAAAAGAAGTAAGGATGGGCGTGGATCATCTGTGTTAACATTTGCAGCCCAGCAAAATAGTAACAGTAAGGTTCGGGTCAAGCAGCATGCACTTTGAATCTAGATGCATCCGTACTTACATCATTTGGTTTTAATCAGATCTTCCAATTCAGAATATATTAGGGTGTCTGTTGTAAGATGATTGAACTATTTAAATGGCTTCCACACAAAACTAGAATAAGTCTTCCTGAGAAATCATTTTTACCCAACATTTGTTCTATGTTGAACTTCAAATTGTTTATCACAGAAAAATGTTTACTTTCCGAACTCTTATTTGAGCACAAACAAACATTTTAGTACCTGCGTCACCACTGGTTAGGAAAGAACTTACTGATCCTTTAGAAGTATTTGAGCAAGATGAAAGAGACATTGTGTCTATGTGAGAATGCTGTGAACTTGTCATTGCGTGTATTTAGAAAGGAAAAACAAGTACTTTTGGTGTGAACACAGGCAAATGTCAGCAGCTGAAACCCTATGAAGGCCTGAAAAGCAGCGCAGCAGCATCATACATGACAAAGCACAAGAGCCAAAGGCAGGAACCTATACCTCCTGTCTGTGCCGAGGAGTAGTCTCCTGTTCCAACTGAGAGAATTGAGTTGGGGCAGGCGAAAGGGCGTGCAATAGAGGGGGGCAGAGATGAAGGGTGCAGGGTTAGAGAGTGCAGGAACAAGATGGTAAGACCAAATGCACAGTGAAATGATAACATACCAAAGACTAATTCACAGTACAAGTGAAAATTAAACTTCCCAGTATGCATTTAGAAATTTGACATGTGAAGGAACAATGAGGCTGTTCTAAACCTGTGTTCTCTTTATTATCTCTCCTACAAAGCTACAGGCGGCTTCCACTTTCAACTGTTCAGTCATTTGGAACATGAATTGCGTTGCTTCCTCTCTATGCAGTTTAAAACAGGGAAGTAAATAACTAGTTCCCCATCCTAACAGATGATGAAGAGAGAAGAAAATGGCCAAAATACAACAGTATGGGCCAATTAATAGACATAAAAAAGGAAACCTGAAAATTTTAAATATACTTGGATGGAAAAAATTATTGCTCACATCACAAGCTTGCATATTTTTTTGGTTTAAAAAGTCTTTAAAAAGCCCCCCACCCCCAAAAAAACAAACATTTGACACGATTGTCATTCACTCTTCCCTCATTTGCAATTCATTTCTGTATGGCGTGGTTTCTTTCTTTTAGTGTTTATTTTCTTATTCTCTGACAGATGGGAGTAACACAGAAAAGGATCTTTCACTCTATATGTTTTGAACATGGTCTCCGATTTTGTCTTACAAAATGTTTACTGGGATGCTTAACTCTGCCGAGATGAGTCCAAACTTTCTAGCATCAGTTGTGTATGTGATGCAAGGATGCATAGTTGTTTTTTTCTGTTTTTGTTTTTCCAAGTACAGAACAAAGACCCAGTGGAAGATGGCCAAAGAGCACAGACTACACTTTTACACATGTTATTAAAGACACACTATGATGTTCGGACAAAGACAAGCATATACACAGGCAAACAGACACCAAATACCTCCTGTTTATTGTCAGCTTGTGAGCCAGCTTCCTCCTCATTTGCGAGCATAGGTTAAATAATAGAGAAAGCATGTTAGTGACAGAGGTGCAGGCTTGATTCTGCTTTTCTTAGCTTAATTTTTTTTAAAAAAGGTCAAATAGTGTGAAGCTTTTAGCAGGATTTATGAGCAGTGCAGTGTGAGCATGTAAGCCTGAATGAATCAGACAGAGAGGAGCAGAGTTAGTTGATGTTAAATACATCAAAGCCAGAAAGTGTTGGGCAGAGCCCTGCTGGATAAAATGCAGCTGGACTGAAATGCTTATTCTGCACTGGTTCACATCATCACCTCTACACACCAAATACACACCTTCAACTTCTACCAGTTGAACCCCAAAAACTCCACAGTGGTTGAGCCCCCAAAAATCCGGCAGTATTTCCCTACCACAATTTCTTTCTTTCTGGTTGGAGAGACATTGCCGTCATAGTCCTTCTCCTCCTCCAGCTCTTTCTCTTCCTCGTCCTGCTCCAGACTGGGCTCCAGCTCGGTCTCCTGCTCATCCACAGAGGTGCTGTGGAGGCGTCTCTGTTCACTGATGCTGCGGTGGGACAGGCCATCGTGGTTGTCACACATGGACGACACCGGCCGTGAGAACTCTGCAGGTCAAATTATGTCCAGAAACAAGTCAGAAGACTCCCACTAATGTGGGATTCCTTTGGGAAATCGTCAGTCGGAGCAGAAATGTTTTTGTGACAAAGAAACCTACAGGCTATGAGAATGGATATTGCTTATATACCCAAGGATAATCAGGACAGATTAAACCATTTATGTACATCATATAATAAACTGCCCCTCCACACACACACAATTAGGTAAAATATACATGTCATGTTACACAATGTTATTTAACATTACTTGAGTTTTTGTCAACTAAATAGACAAACGACTGTATGAGTGTAATATGTCATATGATATTCATGTGAAGGGTGTTTTACGTCTTTTTATGAGCAACTGAATAGAAACTCCAAAGCTCCTTATTTCGGATCAATCCTGGCTCTCACCTCCATCCAAGCTCCTGGACAGAAGGTACCTCTTGCTGGTCGAACGCTCAAAGTGAGGCGCAGGACGGTCTATGAGGGCACTGGCCTGCCTGGTTTGAGCCTGCGTCCTTCCACTGTATCGAAACTTTGAACCCATTACCAAAAATCCCTTGGGAGGAGGTTCTGGAGACACCAACCTGTGAAAGCAACACCTGTATTATCGGCTGTGGCACTGCTCGCTCTCCTTTAATCTGAGGTGAGCCAGTCAACAGAATCTGAGTTATGAAATAACATTCGTCAGCAAAGTCATTAATTCCAGGGAGACACGCAAAGTGTATAATGCTCAATGTTTTTTTCCTCATTTCTGGTTTCTTGCAACATCTTAAACCTCTAAACATAATCTAAACTTTAATAAGGTTCAACGTTTTTTCTTTCTTTTTTAACTATACGTTTTTCTCTTAGTAAAAGCATGTTGCATTAGAGCAGGTGGGGAACCACTGTCAATTTAAAGGTTGATCTGTTGATGCCTGCTGTACAGCCCCCTTGTTAAGTGCTAATGGTCCAATGACAACAAAGTTGTTAGTGTTTATATTTCAGAGTTTGAAAAAGGAAAATGCTTTAATGGGGCAAAATTGGAATGGTGATTTTTGATTGAATAAGGAAATCAAAATACATGATGGATCCTCAGATGAAGCTTCACTTATAGAAATCAGGATTTTATTAGAAAAGGCTGGAAATGTCTTAGTATTTCAGCAGTAGTGGGCTGATTGTGTTTGCCACCCAACAATAGAAATGTTCAAATATGAAGAACAGAGAGCATTTTGAATTCAGTAAAAGGATAGAACGTTTGAGCATGTGCTGTTGGTGAGTGTTGCAGACATAAGTTCAGAATGATTTGATCCTCAACATTACAATGTGAGTTTATCAGTTTAAGAACTTGCTTTTGCATGGCTTAAAACCTGATGTGTTTTATTGCATTACAAAAGTCTCATTTTGAGAGACTTTCTGAAATCTGATCGGGGAACTGTTTTCCTGTTAGTTTTTTCTACTGGTGGCTCAATTTGAGCTTGTAAAGAACCCCTTTTGGATTTCTGCTCTGGCTTTTCTGTTGAGGCCTCTGTATTTGCTTCTCTCTCTCCACTTTTTCCTTCATAGAATACTTTTACATAAAAACATATCTCCTAGAGAGTGCTATCTTGAGGGTGTTTAAGCATACTCTGAATTAATGCGAGCAATTGGTTTCACAAACAAACAAACAAAAAAAAACAATCCTCGACCCTTCACATATTTAACTTATGATCAATCCTGACTTCACAGAAGTGCGGGGGGCAGCAGGCTGAGGGCAGTAGACACCAAGAATATCAGCAGGACCATCAGAAAGGCTGGCTCAATCCTGGGGGTCCAATTGTACTCCTTGTTGGCAGTGACTGAGAGGAGGATGCTGTAACCCCCCAGATGTAGAAGTCCTTTCTTCCTTTGGCCATCAGACTATTTCCTGAACACTTCACTTTATCACAAGACACTTAACTTTATCGTTTGATTAATTACTCATTTGTTGTTTTTTCAAGAGGCTCCTATAATTTATCACTGGTCACCTTAAAGAATTGCTCACTATAGTTGCATTTATTCATTTTCAACCTTTATCACAAGTGTTGCACTGCAGATTCCCTCGGAATAAATAAAGTTTTATGAATCTTGAATCTTTGAAACGGTTGCTGTGGCCATTAGCAAACCAGAGCGTGGCTTCAGCTTTTCAACCGGAAGACATGGAGGCAATTAGCTTATTGTTACAGGTGAGAGACTTCAAAAACCGGTAAATCGATTCTTACCGGAAGAATGTGTGATGTTCGATGCAGACCTTCCACAGCTTCTTGGCAGCTCTGTGGTTGGGAAGCTTAAAACCAATCGTGCTTTCAAATTGCTCATACTGGATGGGAGAAAGAACATGAACAAACACAGTAATATTCACTGTAATGAGGAATATGTGGGGAATCAAGACTAGGACAAACATATAGAAACACACTGACACCAGACAAGGGGGAAACAGACTATTTAAACACATGAAAGGAAGGGAACCCCTGGTGAACACAATCGGTGATTAAGGGAGACAATCACACAGGTGACACAAAGGGAAGTGCAAGTGACCTGAAACAAGAGATGTACTTTTCAAAATAAAACAGGAAATGAAAAGACATGACAAAATATCCCCCAAAAAACCCAGACATGACAGGATGCAGATATATGCTAATTGAAAACCATATAATACATGAAGTTAAAAAAATAGATATAGATATGCATCTACTGTATGTATGTAATTTTCTAGACACTGCCGCTGTGTGTAAGTAAATATTTAGAAAATAGCACAGCAAAATGAACAGCTAGGAAGCCAGTGTCCATACTCTGGAAGCAATTGGGTAGAAAACCATTTCATGGCTGTAGTTATACACTCTTTATTCCTCTTTTCTGATAGTGGCTGCAGCTGCAGAGGCTCTGTTGAAGGACTTCTTTATTTGGCCCGATCACAGGCACACTATGCAGTTCCATCACATGACTGGGGCTTACTTGGCATATAGGCAGGGAGAGCCAAAATATAAAACCTGACCAACTGTTAGGGTTTAAGAATTTGTGGGGTTAAATATCTTTGGCAGACGTGACCTCAGATTTATTGTATTTTTATGTATATTTGCAGAAGTATATGGTTTCATAGAAGGGTTTTTGTGGCCGCCAGACAGTCAGTAAAATCTCAAAATTGTGACTTCATTTCCAGTCTTCAGCTACACTAACTTGTAATGTAATTCAAACTGCCACACCTAGGCAGTACAGAAGCAGATATTGGGTTTACACATATCCCATAATAGTCACCCACACCCACACACAAACTATGACCCACAAAGGCCCCAAACAGGCCTCCTAGCATGTGATGTAAGACCGCAACAGGTGAGCCAGGATACTGCAGTCTGTTTTGTTTTCAACCAGCCAAAGAGCCGATCTACCTCAACACCCTCTTAAAGCCTTATGTCACCGCTCGCCCACTCCGTTCCTCCAAGGAGTGCTAACTAACACGGACAACACACACAGGTCAATCTAGACTCTTCTGATCTGACTTACGAGCACTATCAGAGCGTCAGACTCTCTTTACTCCTTCAAGAAGACCCAGCTCTATGTAGAGTATCTCTTGTCCTGAAAGCTCTAAATGCACTTATTTCCTAATAGCATATAGCACTCACTTACTTATGTAATCTATGTTATAGTTAAATGTTAAATCCTTAATGTTAAATTCCCTTCTAGTATATTGCAGTCAAGGTAAGGTAAGTATGTAACTGGAATTTTAGTTGAATGTTAACCACTCTTTTTGTAAGTCGCCTTGGATAAAACCGTCTGCTAAATGCTTAAATGTAAATGTACATGATAGATCAAAACTTTTCAATAATCTCAGCATGTACCTCGCCAGGTCTTATCTTAATGTAAAAGTTGCTCCTCTTATATGAGATCTTCAGAATTTTTGGCCAAGCAAAGCGGTTGATCCTCAGCCTATCGCGGTAAATTAGCAGGCCATTGGCGCAGACACCAAGCATTATTTCAATCCCCTCAGAGTCCTGCGGGAAACACAGGTATAAGTTATCCATGAGTAGCCATTGTGTGCACACCTGAAACATGAAAATGACAAAACCTTGTCGACGGCTTACCTTAGCATGATGGAGGTCCACCCCATACATCGACAATTTCTTTGCATTCTCCAAGAAGTTTAATTCAGCCTCTGCTGGAGTCATTCCCCTGCAGGCAGAATAACAACAAAATCTGTAACCAAGACCAACAGAACTTCTGAGAATAAAAACCCAAATCATGCACTCCATGGGTGGGATTGTCTGACTGCAGGGGGCCCGCTGCTTTGAGACACCCCCTGGATGGGATTTTCACACAGAAAGTCTGACATCTCCATCAGCAGCTAAATGCATGATGGGTTTTTTTCGACCTGTGAGAAGATCCCATCGTCCCAAAAAAATGTATGGATAAATAAAAAGTCTTGATAAAAAACAGTGAAGATCAGTACTTGTAGTTTCGATGGAGCTCCATGACCCTCTCCTCCAACTCGCGGGTTTGATTTGGAGCAAAGCGGAAGTCAGTGACATAATCGGAGCCGTGGTCGTCTTGCTCGTAGTCTCCCAGCTCGGCCTGAATGGTGTATGAGCCCAGGAGGGCGTGAGTGACGAATGAGCATGGCAGTCGACCTGAAAGCATATCATCTCTCAGCTGCAGACACAGGTAGTATCTGTCAGAGGAAACAAAAGAGGGAGGAAAGAAGGGAGTGTTGGCAGTCAAACAAGCATGAGCCATGCAAGCTCCAACAAGTGTTCACCGTGGTTAATCTGTGGCAGTTAGCTGCATTTCAGGGCCTAATCTTAAAAAAGAGCAAGGGATCTGGGTTGCTTTGACATTCGGGCAAATATGACACCAGAATTGTTAGAAAGAAATAAAATCTTTTTTCTTTCAACACACGTGACTGAGAAATAAAAAAAAGGGAAAAAAAATTGTGGAGCTGGCGCATATACGGTAAGCAGTTTCTCATTTGATTAACTTTAAGTAGCATCTCACAGCAAAGCCATAAAAGTTATAATTGTTAATATCGTTGAGGTGAGTGTTTGTGCTACCTGGTAATGTCCTCTGTGAGTTGGGAGGGGTCAGGAGGATAGAACTTGACAGCAAAAGAAAACTGCCACAGAGAGTCTGAGGATAAACAAACCAAGTATAACTGAAAACGTCCATAGTTGTTCATGCCAACTAGGACAGATAACTTGCTTTACAAGTTTAAATAAAACTTGGAGTAAAATATTCATTCTTTTAAAACTAATTGGAAAAGACACTCACTGCGCATCTGCTTCTTGATCTCTTTGGAGGGGTCCAACCAGTTCTGTAAGACAGGAGGCAGCATTCACACAAGGTGGTTTGGTAACATGGTTAATATCCACCCCGGTGTCGCATTTTGTTTTAATTGCTATCAGCATTCCTAATGAAAGCCTCGCCATATGATAAATGAATAAATTGACGGCTCATGTGAGATTCTTATTTTTACATTCAGACAAATAATGTTATATTTCATGGTTTGTCTTTTGTAGGTCAAAGTGGACTGAACCATTTCCACTTGAAGGGAAATGTACGAAACAATCTGTTTATGTTTTTGTTTGTTTATGTTTATGCATTTGGCAGACGCTTTTATCCAAAGCGACTTACAGAGTAGACACAATGTTACATTTCTCATCACAATGACAATAAACTATATAGAGCAGAAACACTGATCAGAGTCAGTGGTGAGATAGAGATAGATGTAGAGGGACTACAGAAGGAGCTGTGGGGGGGTAGAGGTACGGGTTAGGGTTAGGATAGGAGATGCTCTTTGAAGAGGTGGGTCTTCAAGAGTTTCTTGAAGACAGACAGGGACTCTGCTGTTCTTGTGGAGCTTGGTAGGTCGTTCCACCATCTTGGAACGACACATGCAAACAGTCTGGATTGTCTTAAGCGTGGTGAAGGCACTGCTAGACGACAATCCATTGATGACCGGAGTGATCAAGTTGTGACATAAGCCTTTGCAAGGGGATTCAAGTAGATGGGAGCCATACCCTTAAGCACTTTGTAGGCTAGCATCAGGGACTTGAATTTGATACGGGCAGCCAGAGGTAACCAGTGGAGCTCAATGAACAGAGGGGTGACGTGAGATTTTTTGGGCAGATTGAAGACCAGACGCGCCTGTTTTACTGTACAGGCCGGGAGACCAGTCAGGAGTGCGTTGCAATAGTCTAGGCGGGAGATGAACATAGACTGCACCAGGAGCTGGGTAGCATGTTGTGTTAGGTACGGCCGGATCTTTCTTATGTTTAGTAATGCGAAGCGACAGGATCGAGAAACAGAGGCAACGTGATCTTTAAAGGTCAGCTGGTCATCAATCATGACACCCAAGTTTCTTGCTGCCTTTGATGGAGTCAGAGAGAGGGATTCAGTTTGGATGTGAATATTGTGGTGAATAGTTGGTTTGGCTGGAAAGACAAGCAGTTCAGTTTTTGAGAGATTCAGCTGGAGGTGGTGGGCTTTCATCCATTTTGATATGTCAGAGAGACAGTCTGAGATGCGTGCTGAGACCGAGTGGTCATCAGGTGGGAATGACAGATGGAGCTGTGTATCATCAGCATAGCAGTGGTAGGAGAAACCATGTGATTGAATGATCTGGGCCAAGGAAGTGGTATATATACCAAAGAGAAGAGGTCCAAGTACTGAACCTTGAGGAACCCCTGTGGCGAGGTGGTGCACTGCAGAAGTGTGACCAAGCCAGGATACTTTAAATGATCGACCAGTGAGGTACGATTCAAACCAGGAGTGTGCTCTCCCTGTGATGCCCATACTCAAGAGTGTAGACAGAAGGATGTCATGATTGACTGTGTCAAATGCGGCTGATAAGTCAAGAAGGATAAGTACTGAGGACTTGGCATTTGCCCTTGCCTCTTTTAGGGCTTCTGTCACAGACAACAGAGTCGTTTCAGTGGAGTGGCCACTTTTAAACCCAGATTGATTTGTATCAAGGAGTTTGTTTTGTGAAAGGTAGTCTGTGACCTGCTTAAAGACTGCCCTTTCAATGGTCTTTGACAGAAATGGAAGCAGAGAAACCTGCCTATAGTTTTCCACCTGAGTTGGTGGGAGAGAGGGTTTTTTGAGCAGCGGTGTGACCAAAGCTTGCTTGTATGAGTTAGGAAATGTGCCAGATGTCAGCGAAGCATTGATCACATGTGTGACTGCTGCAGTAACTGTGGGAGCTATGGATTGGAGTAGGTTTGTAGGAACTGGGTCCAACAGGCATGTAGTAGGACGGCTACATGTGAGAAGTTTGGACACATTGCTCTCAGTGAGAGGAGCGAAGGAGGAGAACAAAGCAGTAGGACTTCTGCTTGTATATGTACTATGAGAAGTTTAATGTGCAAGCCGTTCAGTAAACTGTTTGCTTATAGCTGCCACTTTGTCAGTAAAAAATGAGGCGAACGAGTCTGCCGTTAAGCTAGTTACAGGTGGCGGAGGAGGAGGGTTAAGCAGATTTTTGAAGATGGAGAATAATTTTCGAGTGTCGGTTGTTCTGTGAATCTTATCAGTATAGAAAGTATTTTTTGCATCAGTCATGCTTAAAGAGAATGCAGACAGCAGTGCCTGAAATTTTGTTAGATCATCTGGATTTTTTGATTTGTGCCATTTCCGTTCTGCAGCTCTAAGGCTGGTGCGTAGTGCTCTGAGTGTATCATTGAGCCATGGGTGGGACCCAGAGGCTCGAGCAGGTTTAGTGGATAGAGGACATAGACTATCCAGGCAGGAGCTCAATGTAGAGCAAAGGGTCTCCGTGGCCTCATTAACCTCAAATGAGGAAAATGTGCTGGAGTTTGGGAGAGCGGACGCAACATGGGAGGAGAAGTGGGTAGGTGAGAGTTTGTGGAGGTTTCTGCGGAGGGAAACCATAGAGGTGGAAGCAGAGGGATTTTTGGGAAGATTTGCTCTGAGTTGAATGAAATAGTGATCAGAAAGGTGCAGAGGTGTGACAGAGAGGGCCTCTATAGCACATTTTCTTGTGAAGATGAGATCAAGTGCTTTGCCAGCTTTGTGAGTTGGAGGACTGCTGACCATTTGTAGGTCAAAGGAGTTCATTAGTGAGAAGAAATCAGAGGAGTTAGCGCAGCCAAGGTGGATATTCATATCACCAAGGATCATTGTGGGACAATCATATTCATGGCTGGAGGAAAGTAGTATATCAAGTTCATTTAGAAAGTCGCCTAGTTGCCCTGGTGGGCGATAGATAACAGTCATGCAGATTTTGACTGGTGCAGTGACCAAGATGGCATGGTATTCGAAAGTATTGTATTTGGCATTAGGCGTTAGGCAATCTGGTCATACAGTACGGCTGCCAGCAGATTTAGCTTGTTGGCATTTTGGTTGAATATACATTTATTTCTATTTAGCCAAACTAGACGTGTGTTTATGTAATTTAGATTATGTCTCATAGATGTAATGACCTCAGAGCATTTTTCCCCTTGTCAGAAAAACAGTCAAAATAGCTTGTCAGCTTAGTGAAATTGGTGTGTGGTAATCTGAACTTGTTGCACCATTTGTGCTAGGGAGTTCTCATAATAGTGTAAAGACTGTTACAAAATGTGAAATGCTTCTTGGTTACCAAGTGTAACTGTGTCCAAAGGAACATGTCAGCACAAATTTGTGCCAATAAAATTAAAGCAAACACACTCGCTAAGAGGGGGTCCCCTACACTAGCTTCTTTGAAAAAGTCAGACAAGGTTTTAGAAGGATGCTTTCGTATTTTATTTCCAGGATGTTTTGACCAAAGCATGCCAGACCCTTAAGAACAATTAAGAACTTGAGAGATAGTTCCTTTACGGATAGTAATGGCAGAACTTAATGGAATTAAATCAAATTGCACTGAATTCATTAGCACTTGCTCAACAGTCAATGTAGAACATTTAATGTGCATTAAAAATGCATTGAAATGTGTATTAAATGGGACCCTTTACACTCGAAGACAGCCATCAAAATGGGGGAAAATCAAATTGAATTAGCCAAATTGCTTCTTTTGGCAAAACTGTCTATCATATTTTTTCTTTTAAATTATTTTGAAGTTCAATAGAGCCACCAGCCTTCTCTTGCTTGTGTAGTGTATCTGTTTAATGTTTCACTCTATTGCTTAAAAAGGGCCTCATATCCAGGATAAGTTATATATATGTTGTGTAACAGAAAACACAACTTCTCATCATCCTAATTAGAAAAATAAAAAATCGACTTTTCTGTCAAGCTGAATCACATGTAAAGGATGCTACCTTCTTCAGACCAAAACTGCTTTAAGCAGTTATCGTGAGCATACATTACTGCTCACTATTCCACATTTTGAGCCAAACTGTTCTATTTAGTATAGGTTTCAGCCTTTAAGGCTATCACTAATGGGTTCATCCCTTTGTGTGCATGAGCAGCACTGAAAACTTTAGTCCATGCCCACCTGTTGGGTGGGCCCCACCTCAGCCTCAAGTATAAATTGGACCAAAACCAGAAAATCGTCTCCCAATTTTCTTCAGCCAGCAGCAGCACTGTAAGAAGATTTCCTTGCGACTTTGCCTGGAATGCCAGCTACATTATGGGAGACAACCTCCACCACAAATGTGAAGGTTGCCTGGGATAGGAGCACGCCGGACCCTCACACCCCAGGCTTACTGTGCCTTCTGTAAACTGCTTCCACTCCACGAGAAGCAAAGAAGAGTTCCCATCCTGGTTACGAGTCTGTGTGTGAAGTGGGTTACAGGGTCAGGCCCAGAGACAGACTCTTTGCCCTTTCAGCCCGAGCCCCCCATGGGTTGACCCCCTCGTTTCTCAATGCCCAGAAACGGCGGTAGGGGCTCTGTCCTGGCTCTCAGTCATGAGCGCAGGAGTGTAGAGGGGGCAAGGATGCCGACTATCAGAACTATGGGAACTTCTGGCGAAAGAGGTGATTTCCAAAGTCCCAAAGAAAGTATGGGCTTTTACTCCCGTTACTTCCTGGTTCCAAAGAAAACAGGTGGAATGAAAGCCATCCTCGATCTGTCGCTGTTCCACAAATCTATAGTGAAAAGATTTTTTCACATGCTGACAGTCAGATAGGTTCTGGACTGCATACGTCAGGGTGACTGGTTTATCTCCATCTACCTGAGAGACGCATACCTGCATTTCTCATTTCACGCTGCCTACCGCTCAGTTACTCCCTTGCACCTCGCACCTTTTCCAAATGTTTGGAGACTTCGCTGGTCCAGAGACAAGGCACCGATACAGACGTGGAAACTGGTGGCTTAACTGTCAGACCTCGGCTTCTCCATAAACTAGGAGAACACCCTTCCTCTGGGACAGGCTCGGCAGAGATAGCACCGACCACCTCGCCACCACTCTCTGAGTCCCCAGGGCTACCCCGCTGGGGTGGACGCCTTTGCATTTCCTCCTGTCCTGCTGATCACTCCACTGCTGGACTGAATCAGGGAGGAACAGTCAGTGTCAGTGATACTGATAGCCCCAAAATGCAGGGGTGCTGTGGTTCCCATACCTGCAGCAACTCCTGTCAGACAAGCCATGGCAGCTTTAAGAGTAGGCTTAAGACTTTCCTTTATGATAGAGCTTATAGTTAGGGTAAGTCCACCCCTAGTTGTGCTGCTATATGCCTAGACTGCCGGGGGATTTCCCATGATGCACTGAGCTCCCCTTTCTCTCTCTCCCTCCCGGTGCAACCTTATTCCATTAACGATGTTACTAACTGGTCTATCTCCCTTCCCTGTAGTCGTGTGCTTTCTCGTCCCCCTTCTCTCTCCTCTCTCCTCCTATCACTTTTTGCAGATATTCCTGGCTCTGGAGTTGTGGGGTCTGGATATGTGGTTGGGAGTCTCCTCTTATCACCTCCTGCAGGTGTTCCTAGAGCTGTGGAGTCTGGATCTGTGATTGGGAGTTTCCTGCTGTGCCCGTGTTCCTATTCTGCTACTACTCTGCATAGTGTTATTGCTGTCATTACTCTTATCATTATCATTAGTATCAATATCATTGCCATGTTTCATCAATTATATGTGTTACTGTAGGCTGCCTCTCTCTGCTCCCTCTGTCCTTCTCTCGCCCTCTTTCTCTTGCCCTCCTTCTCTCTCACCCCCAACCGGCCGAGGCAGATGGCCGCCCACCCAGAGCCATGGTTCTGCTCGAGGTTTCTGCCTGTTAAAAGGAAGTTTTCCCTTGCCTGTGTCGCCTAGTGCTTGCTCATGGTGGGAATTGTTGGGTTTCTGTAATTAACTTCAGAGTAGGGTCTGACCTCCTCTGTTTGGAAAGCGCTGTGAGATAACTGCTGTTGTGATGTGGCGCTATATAAATAAAATGTAATTGAATTGAATTGAGCTTTCATAAGCTTTGACACACTTCTTCAAGCAAGGGAGCGAAAACAGCAACCCCTCGATGGAGGACCAACGTTAAACAAAAGTGCCTAGAGGACCTGGGTCTATCTCAGGACATGTGGTGCTCACAATCTAGAATTCCAGAGCAGCCACCACAAGGGCTTCTTATTCTTAAAAGTGGTCAGCCTTTTAGCGCAGTGCGGGAAGGAAGGACTGGACGCTACCACTTGCATTCTGCCTCATGTCCTTATTCCTCCAGATATTTCTGAAGAGGGATTTGGCATTCAGCACTATTGAAAGCTTGCGATTTCGTCCTGCCATGTAGGTTTTGGTGACAGATCAGTGTTCAGCCACCCACTGACCTTACCTGAAGGGCTTGCGGCGGCACAGGCCCGTGTCACGTGCCCTGAAACCACACTGGGGACTGCATCTCTGTGAGGCCACCTCTCAGGCATATATCTCATCTGGCTTAGACCCCCTGTAGGTCTCAGGGCTCATTCCATCAGAGGGATTTCATCTTCCATAGCTTTTATCTGTAGAGGACATCTGCATTGCAGAATCATGGTCCTCTCTCTGCTCATTCATCCGCTTTTATTTACAGGACGTTTTGCTTTTCTCCATGACTCATTCTGTTCTGAGAGTTACGTCAGAGAGAGGGATGTGTGTCTCCCCTCTCTACCCATGACAACACCGGAAGCCCCATTGGGGCTGTACTTTTTTTTTTTACAATTAAGGGCAATCAAATATGTTTAGACTTGTAGTACTAAAGGGCGAAGCCTATACGAAATAGAACGTTGGTTGAGAACCGCAACCGCATATTCTATAATTATAGGCGCAGCCCTTTAAGCTCTGGGCCTCACTGGCTCTATGGAGAAAGAAAAGGAGTTATTCATGGAAGCCAATTTTCCGATCTTGGTCCAATTCATAATCGAGGCCAACTATAAATTGGACCGTGGGGCCCACAAAACAGGTGTGCATGGAATAAAGTTTTCATGGCTGCGCTTGCGAAGGGATGAACCCATTCGCGATAGACTTAAAGCGCTCCGCCCATACTCATAGAATCTGGGGTTACAGTTCATAACCAACAATTCTAATACAGACGTTTCTTCCAAAATTAAAAGCATGACCCTGAAGGGCTGTAAGAGTGCGAATTGTCAGAGATGGCTGATTCAGTCAACTGTAAAGATTGACTAACTATGAAAAATGTCCCCAAGACTGAAAAGAAACACCTGAGGGCACATGCTATGACCAGGTCAGTAACAAGGATGGGAATAAAAAGAGAATCTTAAAGAAGGAGAGTCTCTCAGAAATAATGTGCTTTAGAAAAAAATTGCACATAGGAGTGAAGAGTGTGTGTGGTTGTTTGTCCTTGTATGTGTTGTGTGTGGCCCTGTGATGGACTGGCAGACAGTCCAGGGTGTACCCTGCCTCTTGCCCGTTGACCACTGGCATAGGCTCCAGTTCCCCCCGCGACCCCATCAGGGAATAAGCGGTAATGATAATGGATGGATGGATGAAAGAAAAAGTTATATGTTACATTTTCATATAACATATTTATTTTTAGGCAGAACAATGCTAAACCACATTCTGTAGAAGTTACAACTAATACATCCAGGTGCTGGACTGACCTGCATGCAGTTCAAACCTTTTACCAACTTAAAATACACCAAAGAAAGCCAGGACTATTAAACAGATAGATTCCCTTATTATTCTGTCTTCTGTTGTTAAAAGAAGTTAGGATGGTACACTGTAGTAAGCATGCCCCTTACTCAGCCTTTTTTAAATCTCCAACTGCCACCAACTTTCCTATTAAGTCTTATATTTTACAAAAGAGCTAAAGGTCTCATTTTCAAGATTTTACATGCGTTGTGTGGTCCATTTTGCTACATATTATTCTCTATTTTGAACTAAACTTTTCAGACACTTTTTCAATAGGTATGAATTATGGCTCACAATTGAGTTTATTCATACTTATGCTCTCTTTTGAGAACTGGAAAAGAAAATATATTAGGTTAGGTTGCCACATTTAAAAGTATGTAAAAAGAGCCACACTCTAACAGTTCATCTTCAGATCAGTATCAGCAAGTAAGTGTCTTTTCCATTTTCACGCTTAACTATTTCATAGCAAAGGATAAGGAAAAATTAATCATTACAACTTCAGCTCGTTAACTATCTTGCTAATGTACTATGGTTATATAATCAAGCTATATAGAAGTCACTAAAGTAATTTTGACCTACCTTCACTCATTACTGCAGCTCTTAAAATATCCCCCCTTAACTGTAGCTCTTGGCTTCAGTCCACAAAGGTTTAATTCACTCCATTATAGTACTTCCACCAGTGTTGTAGTTCTGGCTTTCAAAAATATTTTTCATATTTTATTACATGTTTGCATACTGAGACATTTTTGGTGTTTATCTTTGACTGATAGATGGTACACCCAAGGGAGAGCCCACCAACCAACAATTGAGAGGAATGCTGATTTCTCAGCAGCCAACATGTTTGTTAGCTAAAAGGGTCTCATTTATTAATTTGTTAGCCAACCTTCTGGCTATCTGTGTCAGATAAGGTCAGGCCAAAGTAGTCCTTCTCCAGCAGATTGAGGTTCTCGCACACCATGTCCATCAGGGTCTGTCCTTTGGAGTGTTTCTGCAAAGACAAACGTACAATAAGTAAAAGAGGAAAAATACACACTTGTATTTTCTTACACAGGTTGAATTATCAATTGGAAAACAGAGTAAAGCAGTTCTTTTTCTAATACCCCCTACCTTAAGGCTGTCACATACAAGAATAGAGACATATATGTCGTTCCCACGCATGCGAGAACTCAATGATGACGTTTTTAATCGTGGCAGCTCTGATTTGGGAGTTCTAGCTGTTTTTCCTCTCGTACTGTTGTAGTTTTAACTTTTTTCACTTACCTTGCACCCATACTGTTCTGTGTAATCCCAGAGACTAATATTTGTAGTTTGACCCTGATTCACTTGTAGGCAGAACGAATCGCTCGATACGACATACAAGACACTGTACCCACCCCTAACTCTGCTGGTATTGAGTGGTCGAACATGCCATCTAATGTTAATTTTTTTCTATTTCTTTAGCAATCCTTCCTTAGCTCAAGAATCTAGTATGGCTGCCATTGTAACTATGTTGGGAATTGTTGGGCTTCTGTAAATAACTCAGAGTAGGGTTTGACCTGCTCTGTTTAGAAAGCACTGTGAGATGACTGTTGTTGTGATTTGGCGCTATAAAATAAAATTGAATTGATTTTAATTAAATTTTTGTTGCCCTATTGTTTGTCAGATTTCCACCATCTTGGTGCACATGTAACATGTGCACTGCGGGGCCTATGAGGACTTTCCAGGAATTATGCACTTGAGTGTCTCCTGAAGTCCAAAATGTCTGAGTCAGAACCAACTTTCCCCCTGAGAGAGAGTCAGTATATGTGTAAAGAAAGTAATCCTTGCATATGGTTATGGGGCATGTGACATATGACAAAAAGGGAAATTATGTTTAAAATCCCAATTAGTGGAAGTCCATAAGCCAGGAGAGAAGCAGGAAACAAAAATAAACTATAATTCATGGCACATACCTCCAGACCACTGCTGATCTTCAGGTAAAGAAGAATGCCTTTAGAGCTGAGTTTGAGAAAGTCACCAGAATGAGCATAAGCAGACACATGCTGGAAGATGGCTTAAAAGGGTATAGTTGCTGCTAAGAAGCCATTACTGAGGCCTGCAAACACCCAGAACCAATCCGGAGCACTGGAATGGTTGGAGGAGCCAAGTCAAAGTCCATGTGGAATTTGATAGATTTAAAGACTAATACAAATGTTTAATCCAAAGTAAGTCTGTGGGAACAGCAAAAAAAATGTGGAACTTAATGCCAAGCAAAAAATAAATAAAAAAAGGATATAAAATTAACCAGAGGGAAAATTAAAGCTGTTATCGAAACCAAACGAGGCTATAGAAAATATTTTCAGGTCATGTGTGAAAAAGGACTATTTAGTTCATCAGCACATAGCAAATCAATATAAAAGCATTTTGTGTTGAGTTTAAAACTATTTCTTTAATCATATTTGTAAAAAATTATGTTTTCTTGTATTTCAAAGATGCTGTCTAATAAATTTGCTAGGCCAAATGTGTATTGTCCCAAGAGACAATATATAATCATAGTCATCATTTGTGAATATGTAATCTCATCAGCAGAACATCTGTAAGATCTGCTGTTATCTTTATAGGAGTTCCAACAAAATCAGAGAGACTAATCTTTAGAAAACTGACGAAATTGCATCCAAGAAAAAGTCAAAACCTTTCAAAATCAACAGAGCTGATGTTCAGAGGAAATGTATATGTCACACAATGTTTTAAGGCCAGAATCTGCTCATTTTTGGGTAAAAATGACAGAGTCCACTCTCTTTTATGCTCTGATAAAGGCTGCAGGTGAAAAATGTGGGCTCTTTCGAGTTTTTTGTATGGACAGTAGATGACATATTTCAACAAGTTCAACTAGTTCCCTGGTGTCCTAATGTAATGTCTGTGACAAGCTTTGGTCAAAATACCATAAGGATGAAGCACAATTGTAGTTTAATCAACCTGCAGAAAACAGCCCCGTTCCGAGCGCTCGGTTTTGAGTGCCTGTCTCTGTAAATGCAAATGCGACACAGGCAATCCACCCACTTCTTCCGGGAGGTGTGCCGAAGTAGGCACGCCTAACACTACGCCACGCTGACACTCACGCTACCGCAACATCTGCCACAGATAGTCGGAATAAGCTGAGGTGGGTGGCAACATGCAGGTGAGAGGCTGGAATACTATAATGAGCTAGAGCTAATGACGTCATAAACTACCGATTTCTGAAACCGCCTGATTTATCTCCTGTATTGAGGCTGAGGCGGCCCACAAAAATATGACTGAGTAACTTTTTTTCACACTTTGCCTGCTGATAGGCCCTCCACAGTCCCAAATGTACGTAATAAAATGATTAAAAACTTGGTTTTGCATAGTATGTCCCCTTTAAATGAGCATGCTAACAACTCTCTTCTTATAAGTCCCAGGCTGTAGGTCAGCGAAAAGTTATATAAAGTGTCAATCGACATAACAGTTTAAAATGATGCCATACAAACTAGCAAGTCAGATCCATGATCTACCTCCCAATTCTTCAGTGTATGTACTTACAAACCACAATTAAAACAGATAAGCGAACAATGCGCTAAGACTTAATTTTTTTTCTTTTTTAATCTCAAACACATCTTTAGTCATCTTTTTCCGACTTTGTGCAGAGTTGGTTTTGGAGCGAGCAGTTGCCAGGGAAACAGATGCAGCATTATTCCACTGCTGTCTTGTTTTCTTAATATCTCAAAGGCTGGTGCTGAAAAAGTGCTTTTTTTGTTCATGTGTCAAAGGATGGGGGAGGAGCACTTGGGGAGTGCTTAAAAGCGCTCATCACTTATTGCATCGCTCTTGCTATAATGTGTGAGTTAAATAAACAAATCAGCTTTTGGGGCGTTAATAAGCCGTGAAGGAGGTGATATGCCCTGTTTGCCCTTTGCACTGAAGTAATAAAATATTTAGACATAAAATAATGATCTCCGACTTGGTGCCAGAATGGCTGAATACGAACACAGGCAAGCAGTATGCAGCATCCAGTTCTGCCAAAAATAACCCCTTTGCAGGACCAAAGCTTCCGCGGGTGTGGTGCCTCGCCCTCTGCTGGAGAACCAAGAAGCAGGCCAACAAAGAAACCTTGAAAAGAGACTTAATCAACACACAATATGACACCCCCTCCACCGGAAAAAATAAATAAATTGAACTGCCACTCGCTTCCTTAAAACGCTGTTATTACAGTACCCTCAAAGTAGTAGGGGAGGTTCAGATATGACAAACATGAGGTCCTTTCCAGAAAGGAAGCAGAAATAAGTCTTCCCATGACCACTGAGCTCTGAGGGTGGAATTTAAAGGGGGTGGGGGGGTGGGGGGGGGCCTTTGTCCATTTTTTCTTTTGCCCATCACTGTCAATGCTGTGAGGGTGGAGGAATTATCAGGATGAGTATTTCAGATACAAAAGATTTCATCATAACCCTGATGCCAGCTATTGATGCAGTGTGGAAATGGCCCAAAAGCCTTTTCTGAATGATTTTGCAGTGCTGAAAGAGATGTTGGTGCACATCGAGCATTCCTGATGGTCTTACCTCACACTTCCTCCTCCCACATCATTGCAACACACACACACAAAGTTTCATGCACTTGTGCAAAAGCCTCACGGGGGTGGGCCCATAACATAATAACGTTGCTCTTCTATTTTCTCCTTGGCTGCACATGGCTTGCAATCATGTAACAACCATGAATTTTTCAGCAGCCTGTTTGGGGTCTGTGTAAGAGGCTTTTAATAGGGATCCAAGCAGTAGCCTGTCTTTTAAATATTGCAATAATTAAATTCATTATAAAATCTGTATAGATATTGAAAGGCACTCTTAGTTAGTAATTAGTTAGTAATAGATTTTCAGGGTTTTTTTGTGCATATAACTTTGGCTGCTCTTTTGCTGGTTCTCATATCCTTCGTGGTACATCACTTAACCCTGACCCATCAAATTACCTGAGCAATGAAAAAAGACACCTAACAAAAGGGATAAGCTGAAGTTGAATCCACACACTGTTTTTAGGCAGTTCGCTGTTAGCAGCCGGTCAAAAAGGAACCTAGTTTTGTCATTTGTTCCCATTCCTTCCGTAAAAACATGAATCTGTACCTTCTGCGTTAGGGTTGTGTTGGAGAAGAGGCTCATAACAAATACTAACTTTTAAGGTTGGTTAGACTTGTACAATTCCAATTTTCATATGCAAATCTCAGTATGTCACAGCACCCATTTCCTGTTTTCCTGATTACAGGCCCAACACTTTTCCACGGTACAATCCGTTGTAGTCAGATATCCAACATTGCATCATAGAGCTGATCTCATGAAAGAAATAGAGAGCCAATAGGCCTCTTAGTCCAAAACAACAACAAAAAAGCTCTAGACACTTGCACAGAGGCAGAGGGCTCTAACACCCTTCTCATGCCCTGAATTTGCTCTTGTCCACAAAGATTCTGAGTGGAGTGAAAAACTGATCCAATCAGGAGCGGCATGACAGGATGCCGCACCGTCATCTCCACAGTGGAGTAAATTGGATATCAATTCTTTCCGGCACAATCCAGCAAAGATGTTTCGGGGGGAAAAAAAGTTAAAGCTGTGGAAGCAGGACTGTCTAGTGCTTTGAGTTACAAAAAATAAAATAAACATAATAGCTTTAACAGGCTATTGTGGATTCTGTCTCTTCTTTCCTCTCGTGTGTGTCCTCGGTTTCTTTACACAGGCAAATGGCATCTTCTGTAAGGGGAAGACTAACACAACTTGCTAATGCTGTGTCAAACACAGAAAATGTAACTTTTTTCTTTGGTTTTGCCTTTCCGGTGAGTTATCAGCATGGCGCTCCCCTTTTATTCTGTTTAACGCTTCTCTCTGCTCTTTGCCACACTCACAATAGTGCACACAAAGGAAAATATCAACAAAGTCGGTCTGCTGCCTTATTCCATAAAATGCGTGAACGCTAATTGTTTTTCATTGCATATACCTCAATTTCTCCTTCAAACACAGAGGAATCCAATAGGGTTACTTTGAAGGGGGCCGTTTTAATCCTTTTGGAGCCTTTCTGGGGAGATTTGAGGGTCTTGTTCGGGGAGGTTTTCTCAGACATGTCATCCATTTCTTTGTGTTCGTCGAGATGTTTGGAGTTCTGCTCCTGACACAAAAACAGATACAAATTTAGAGTCACTTGGTGTTAGGTTGATGCTTTGAACTTGTGCCATACCTGTTAAGTGACCAGATAAGAGATAGTTACTTACTAAGGTTTTTTTCCCAGCACTTTTTACATTTTAAGTAAATATCTATCATAGCTAAAATATATTCAAAAAATTGTGTGAACATTATATAATATATAAGGGATATTTTTCTCTTATACATTGATCCTAAAATGTGCCGCTGCTTAGCTGTTTCTCAAGTTAGAACTTTAGGGAAATAAAATGTATGCCATACTTTTATTCATAAAAAACATGTTCATGTATTTTCTTTTATATGCAGCAGCTTACTTGATGTCTTGTTTGTTTGTTTTTTCTTGCTAGGTGTCCCTTTAATGGAATGCTGCCTGAGATTATTTAAAACACGACTCAATTTACTGAATAAAAGTTTAAATTGCATTTTGGATGTCATGGCTATGATGCTTTTTCTCCATGCTAACCTGTTTAGCTATCTTGCTGTCAGAGGCTGAGCCTTGCATCCTGGCCGCTGCCCCCTACTGTCAGGGAGGACTCCAAGCTTGCTGTTGTTAGCTTCGCCACTGGGCTTCCCTCTGCTGCTTCAGCAAGGTCACACCAACCTGAGAAAAAGGCACAAGAATAGCAAACATATAGATATTTCAGGTACGTAGAGCCAACTCTGCAAATTTCTGTGTCAATAAGAATAATGCAGTCTATCTCTCAGTCAGCAGAACAATTTAAAGAAATTGGGGCAAGGGAAAAAATGCCAAACACAAACACCTCCGTGCCATACTAGGCTGGCACCAACACATGAATCCCACATGCAACCAAAAATTCTGAAAGCTGTGCTTTCTTGATACGAAAGCATTTCCAACGAAAGCGTCACATGTTCAAATCTCACTGAGCCAGATAATAATCAATCATCTAATCAAAACAAGCTCAGATACAGCCATAATGAGAGTTAAATAAACCCCTTTCCAACATTTGAGCAGGTGCTGCATATATGCTTTAAATCATTTAGTCAATAATCCCAAGTGGGATAAATCTGATTTACAGACAGTAGAAACACAACAGAGAACATATGATATGAAAATAAAGACATCTAATAGAGCAAGGATTTCGAGCTTAATATGTCGTTTCTAAGTTGGTTTGTGTTTTAGCATGAACTTCACTGGTAATCCGTTGCAGCTCATCACCAGTTTCAGGTTACAGGTGCGGATGGAATGACTGTTAGCTACAAATGAAAGTCGAAAGAAGCCACTTTTCAGTTTAGAGAGGTGTGCACTGGGGACACATCTTCTGCAGAAATATCGTTGAATGTAGCACATTTAACAGCCACTTTAGAAACGGTTTAACACAGTAAACCAAGTAGCTAATTTAACATCAGCCATACATATTGCCTGTATCTACTTCTGGCTGATGTGGCTTCTAAGACTTGACTGAATAATATTAATAAACCCAGGCATGTTATATTTTCAGGCATTTAGCATCAGCATTGTACACGTGGTAGTGGGTGGCCTCATCTAATTTCTTAATAATCTAACAATATCACCAACAGGGACCGGCTGGACTACAGCTCCCTAGGTGTCATTCATGAAACCTAAACTGTACTATTGTGTCTACTCTGTAAGCTTTGGATAAAAGCGTCTGCCAAATGCATAAACATAAACATAAACTAGGATGACACCAATACCAGAGAAGTTGTAGTTCCCTCCTACAGTAAAGCTACTACTCCTGAAAAGGATAAAAGAAGACATCAGGCACTGGACCCACCAGCAGAGTCGCATGAGAGTGACAAACAGCTGTGAGCGTGTGTGAGGAATTCAGCCTGCCCTCATTACAGCTGAGAGTTAGCTCCTTTTTTTCTGAAGACAGTGAAGCCATTTTAGGAATACTGTTTCTCCTGTGACGGCTCAACCACAATAAAGACAAACTAAGGTTATTTTGCTTTCCTCAGCATTATACAGATGTGTCTTTCCATTTGGGGGAGAAAAGCACCTGGTCATCATCAGAGAAATTACACAGCACCCTGAAAAGAAACATTTGTGATCTGGGTTGGATTGATTTAAAAAAATCCTATCAGAGGAAAAAAAGCCTCTGACTCCAGAATGTGTCATCTTGTGACTATTTCTCTCAGTCAGGCAAGGCACATTATAACGTGTGAACGTATGCTCAGTGGGATCTTCTCGATATAGCACCTAGGGATAACACTCGTCTCCAGAAAGACTCTGGGGTCTGGTGCATTATCAAGCCACAGCTTGACCCCGGCGGTTTTCTGCTACGCGAGTGACAAATCACATCAGCACAATGCACCATGGGATCATGAACGCTCTCAACTGATGACCACGGCAATAACGCAACTGGTTTGAGCTGGCTCAGAGGAAAAACAACCCACTCCCAACTCTAAGAAGAAGAAGGTCTTGACATATTGCTCATGGTTAGAAGAGGGTGACCCCCCCCCCACCACCACCACCACTGTGCTGGCCTTCCCATTTTACAGTCACAGGGATTTGACATAAATTAAATTCTATCCATTGAGGACAAAAGGAAAGCATGGATTGGTATGTCCGTTCAGGGAATAATTTTCCACTGGCCGTTTAATCCAGTTGGGCACTCAGTTATAAGTAGCTAAATCAATTCTCTGTCAGTGGTTGAACGGTGGATGCGGCCAGCATGTAAAACTAGCTGATTGGAGAGGAAAGACAGTGTGTTCTATAGGAGAGGGAAGGGAAAAGGATCAGAATGTGTATGTGTTTCATGACTGCATGGAGATTACAAGTGCCTCTGTGTGTGTGTGTGTGTGTGTGTGTGTGTGTGTGTGTGTGTGTGTGTGTGTGTGTGTGTGTGTGTTTGTGTGTGTGTGTGTGTGTGTGTGTCTGTGTGCGTGTGTGTGTGTTACATCTGCATTCATTCAAGAGAAAGAGAAGATGACATCCCCCTTTTACTTAGCATCCACTGAGCTTCATGACACAACAAATTCACCTCCAGCCAGTATCTCAGCTGCGCTCGTGGCAACAAATTAGGTATAAATGGCTCCAGTCGTAATATTTCTGTTTCTGCTGTACACGCTTTTCACTTTCCTTTCGACACACTATATCGAGCACACGGACAACCATGACACATTTTATGGCGACGGTCAAAAAAAAAAAAAAAAAAAAAAAAAAAAAAAAAGAAACATAAATGTCCTTATCGGTCATGATCTCGTTCATACAATCTGATTAATTGGCAAACTAGCACAGACTGATGCCATAGCGTGGACTAGTGAAGCCCTGAAAATACATTAAGTTCCTGTAACAGACCATTACCCACAATCAGCCACCTGACACAGGCCTCTGCAAAGGAAAAGAAAGAATCGTAAAGGAAAGAATGCAGAACATGTTTCCTTTGTTGTACACTGCCTGCAGTTCACTGACAAGGCCCGCCTTTGATATCTGCCATCGCAGTTATAATAATTCATCAGAGAAAAACAGCAAATTGCTATCTCTGAGGGTTCTGAAAGCTACTCTCCCCTAACAAGCGCAGCCTTTTCCTTTGTTTCTTCTGCCTCTTTCTGTGTCTCTTCGTTCGCATCAGAGGTAAGCTTTAATCTTAGCCAGGCAAGAGAGAGGAGAGTAAGCGAGGGAGCATGCATGTATGCTGAAGAGAACTGGTTAAGCCTGAGAGGCAGTTGCCATGGTAACAGTTTCGAGTAGTCTTTCTCTTTACACCCGCTCTTCTCTCACTCTGTGTAAAAAAAAAAAAAAAACAACAAACAAGGAGGGAAGAACAGAAAAAAAGAGAGCGGGGGTATAGAAATGACAATAGGGAGGATGCAAGCTCATGTGGCATCTCAACTTAAAGGAAATATAACACAGCCATCCCTCTGGTTGGCCCTACCAGAGCAGAAAATGGGGACAGTTGGCCAGACCGAGACAGAGATGCAGACAGAAGCAGCTGACCTCCCCTTGGTATCTGCTCACACTCACAACCGCCGTGTCATCTGAACAATGACAGCACACGGCCATCGCTACATGCCAAAGCACACAACCCTAATCTCGATCCACAGCTCTGTGATTTTATCCATTATCATGCACTGAGCATGCTATGTAACCAAGAGTACAATGAGAGTACAGAACTGGAAAAAATACAGTTTTCTCCACATGGCATCTCGCAGGCTGCAAATAATGTGATAAACACAGGATGATTAAGAAAATTCATAGCAGAGCATTAAATGGTGGATGAATTTAAATATGGAAGTAAAGCACTGGCAGACAGTAATAACACTACATAAGAAACAGTAGGCGATTTCAGACAGATATCTTCAGCTAAATGAAATTGTGCTGTGCTTTTTTTTTTTAGACAACAATGGGGCTTAAGTCTTAACAACCAAGTGTCACAAACAACAGCAAAAACCTCAACAGCATAATTACTGAGAGGAGCCACAATCCTTCACTCAAATATTGGGTGCTGTTCTACTTTTCTGGGAATTTTAAGTCATCCATCACTGTTGGGGCATCGAACAGCACCTTTACACGCCAGAAAAAGTATCTGACTAGCTTCTTCCTACAATTTGGCACCAAACTACTTAGGATTGTGAAACTAGCTAAACTTTCATTTTTGGCATGTTAACACTGAGCAGGCACAATGGCAAGAGTTTTGTTGTTATATTTAATTTACATATACAACCTTGGTTCTACAAAGAACACATTTTACTCAACCTAATGGAGTTAGATTGCCAGAAAATTCAGGGTAGCTCAATTTTGGCAGGAAAATGTGGAAGTGCTTAACTCGTTCAATCAGTGGTCAGCATGGCATACAGCTACACTTTAATAGGAGAGATTTCAGATTTTACCAGATTTTAATTGTGGTCTGTCGCCTCACAGCAAGAGGGTTCCTGGTTCGAGTCCCCAAGGTCCGGGACCTTTCTGTGTGTGGACTTTGAGTCTTACAGAACGATTGTAAAAGACTTGAACCACAAGGCATGCTCTCTGTACATTCCCATCATTCCAAAACTCATTGTGAAACAAAGGTTACTGCATTGGCTCTGCTAGAATGTGTTCAGCAAAGCTAGCAGTTTCATTGATCAGTTCTTTATTTTTCACATTTCATGGCATGCTTTGCAGTATTTTTTTTAAGGTTTGCATCATTAAACACACAAGCACAGTGTATATGGCTTAATGAGGTGAAGAACCGCAAGACACAGCACCAGTAAGACAAACCGCCATTTAACAAGATAGGCAAAACAAGTCCATCCAGATGTTTTAGCATACACTTATGAGAAAATGTGAAAAATGTGAATCCAAAGTTACGGGCCAGGTAACATATTTACATAGTACACAAACATATCAGAGACTTTATAAAACTGTGCATTACATCTCTGATCCTGCAGTTCTGAGTTGAGGGGCTGTATTCTATTCCATTCAAACAGAATTAATGATATTGTTAATAGATAGGAAAAAGAAATTACCCTCCACAGATAAACCGGGACAAAAAAAATGTGACTAACACAGGTAGAGGATGATGTGTGGCAAATGTGGTCGGTATCTGTTTACACCTGTCGCATACAGCGCTTAGGTTTGGGACTATTTTTACATTTTTACAATTTAACTTTTCCAGTATTCTTAAAGGGATGTATCTGTAA